GGTACCAACAGCGTCATCGATGGCGGCGAGCAAGTCATGCCCAACTCTCGCGTCGGAGTGCTACGTGGGCTGAAGAAGGGAGAAGTGCTCTCGCTTTCGGAGTCCGTGCACGGATGCTCTGCACTCGTTTGAGATTCGGCGTCGCGAACCGGTATCCTCGAACGTTCCATGGACGCTTCCACACACTTTCGTACTTCATCCAAGAACTCGGCCCGTATCTCTTGAACCACCATCCTTGCTAGCCGAAGCAGGGTCTCATCCTAAAATTTAAGGCAAATTTACCGCTGTTAGGTCACAGATGACAACATCGGTATTTTTGTTTTTTAAAGGGCATTAAAAGATAGCAAGAACACCAATATCTAGAAATGCAGTTAGCATGGTTAAGTCCAATGCAACTGACACCCTTTGTGAAGATGCACAAGACACTTGTGCTTTTTTAGTACAGCCGACTCCACTCATAGTGATACCGTTTACAATAAATACATCAAATATAATGATAAACAACGATTACACCTATCAGTTTTATAAGCTTTCTATGCTAACATAAACGGCTGATTGCGACGCTCCTGGGAGCGCGTGTGTCCTGTCCTATCACTTCATGTCACGCTTACTTTATGCTAAGTAAAATGTTTTCATCTCTTTCTTTTTTTTCAACCCACTTATAATCAATTATCGGTCATAACGATGAGATTTCCTTGGCACTTGAATATCATTATAAGTGCGCGGTGCCATATCATCCACACCCAAAAATATCAGTTGTGCCTGCATATTTTGAGGCTTGTTGAAACACTGGGTTAGTTAGTTTTGTCTGCACAAGCAATCATTCGAATTTGGTGAAAAAAGGCGGCCCAGCGCAATCGACTACGCAGACGAAGATAAATGCCATCACGGCTCCCGTATCAGCAGCTTACCCCATGACGCAAGACCGCACGTGCTGAATCTTTCTACACCGCATGATGGCGCCTCGACTGCATCGACTATGGCTATAAAAGGACGGCTGCAGCAACACCCGCGCATTGGGCACGTCGGCTGGCATCGGAACGGCGTCATGTCAAACCCATTCCTGTTCTTTGTACAGTTGGTGTCGATTATCCTCAGTTAAAACAAGCAATCGTGTTTTATACAGCTGAACGTGACCAAGCTGTCTACATGCTTTTTTGTGAATACATGGGATCTTGTACGGTCTTTGCTAATGTTTGCGGAGACGTAGCGCTCAATCCCGAGACCTAGTACCGCGGAACTTCTCAAACAATACTTGATGGTCAGAAACTTATACAAGAAAGGCTAAACGCCATTGAAGTCCAAGCTGCAAAAAGTTGACAAAATCGAAAAAACTGTGCAGTGCCTTGAAAAAAGGCTTGTGGATTTAGAAGACCGAAGCAGACGCAACAACCTTGTGGTATTTGGTATTCCGGAAAGCGAGAATGAATCAACCGTTGTCCTAAGCGAGAAGTCGTTACTGAGCTTTTTAAAGATACTTTGGGAGTAGAAGTACACTCAGTAGAAAGATTACACCAGATGGGGCGTCGCCAACCAAATAAACCTCGCCCTGTGATACTGAAATTGTTCGACCATCGTGAAAAAATAACCGTTCTACAAAACTGTTTTAAGCTAAAAGGAAAGCGCATGTCAGTGTCTGAAGACTTCTCCGCTGCCACTAGGCAAATAAGAAAACAGCTCTGGGATAGCACGGCTGACCTACGCAAATCGGGAAGGAAAGTCAGACTCGTGCACGATAAAATTAGAATTGATGATGAGCTATTTGAATGGGACGACGAACAAATGACTAGAGTATCAGTTTCAAAACGCCGATCTAGGGCAAGGCAAAAAGATGCGTGACCACACAGTCACACAGAAAGTTTTACTTGCCTAAACATTAATGCTCGCAGCATCGTAAATAAAACAACCGATTTGGAAAGCATAGTCATCGCGCACAATCCAGAAATTATAGTAATCACAGAAACATGGCTTAACAGCGACATTGGTGATTACGAAATTACACCCTCGGGTACTGCATCCTTCGAAACGATAGAGATACGCGTGGTGGCGGAGTTGCGATTATATTCAAGGACTCGCTGGAGTTGTTGAGACTGCCCGACATCATAGGAATCGAATGTGTTGTCGTGAAGGTTATCTTGAAAGAATGTGCATTGATAATTGGCGGTTTCTATAGGCCCCCTAGTTCAGACATATCTTTCTACGAAAGGCTTAATAACTTTTTATTGCCTTATAGAAATCACTCCAGTAATCTAATGCTTGTTGGAGACTTTAACGTTCCCCACGTTGCCTGGGACAATGACTTTCCCTATGCGCTTTCAAATGAGGCTGAACATATTCTTGATCTTGTGTTGTTTCATGATTTAACACAACTTGTTCATGCACCTACTCGAGTCCAAGGTACCAAACATCAGTCTTGGATCATTCTTGGTCAACCACAGGGTATTACAGCGAAATCCAACTATCCGAATCTTAGAGGGTATATCGGACCACAAAATTGTATGCCTGGATATGCAATTAAGCTGTATCCACAAGGTGACAAAGCGAGAAACTTTTGTTCCTGTGTTTGCACGTGCAAGTGATGTTGACGTACTTGACGTACTAGACAGCTCTTTCGCACACTTTGTATCCCTCTACGAGTCGGATAAGCACTCGGTTAATCACCTGTGGAACTTTTTCAAAAACCTTGTGACAAAGTGGCATTGACGAATTTGTACCACGTAAGCGTAAAATAATACGGAACACTAACCCCTGGATAACCAAAGAGATAGTACGCTTGGGACGAAGACTTAAAAAAGTAAAACAAAACTGAAACGGCGCAACGAAGCGTCCACAAGCAACTTGGTTGCGCACTGAGATTGCAGCTTAAAAACTGTATTGCTGACGCTAAAACTCATTATCAAAACGTGCAACTAAAAGTTTATTTTCTTCGTCCCCGGCGAAATTTTGGAGGTATCTGTCACCAAATAAAAAATCGGCACCTACTCTGTCTTAGACGGCAATGCGGTGACCAACAGCTCAGAAACAGCGCGCATACTCAATGAATACTTTCTGTTCAGTTTTCACTGATGATAATGGCACGGAACCTGAATTTCTTTTGTTTGGTGATTTGCCACCGATTGACAATATAGAAATAGATGAAGAGGGCGTATTTTCCCTTCTGCTCAAGTTAGATGATAAGAAATCTAGTGGGGACGACAAACATACCTAATGCTTTTCTGGTGCGCTACGCAGACTGGTGTTCTAAGTACCCTAAACCTAATCTTTCGGAATCTCTTTTCTCGAGCAGAACTTCCTCATGACTGGCGTTACGCCAAAATAACTCCCATACCAAAAAGGCAAACCAGTACATACCTTCCGCGTACAGACCGATATCGTTGTATGCGCATGTGTTAAGTTCTGGAACACAATATTCAAGCACCTTTCCGCGTTTATCGAAAGCAACAACATAATAGACAGTCGCCAGCATGGCTTCCGACGCGGCTTATCGTACGGTTACGCAGCTACTCGAAATGGTACATGACCTTGCCTCTGGTCTGGACAAACAAAGCCAAATTGATATATTATTTCTAGACGTTGAGAAAGCGTTTGACCGCGTGTCACACCGTAAGCTTCTAATCAAATTCAAGGCGATTCTGAAAAATGACTCTTATTAGCCTGGATCGAAGCATACTTGAGCTGCAGGTACCAGTGCGTCACAGTTGGGGAACCAACTCGCCATCCGCGCCAGTTCAATCCGGCATACCTCAGGGATCCGTCCTGGGGCCTCTTTTCTTTTGGTTTTTATAATGACATGTCCGCGAATATACCAGTTAAGATAAGGCTTTTCGCAGATGACTGCGTGCTTTATCAAGAAGTGAATGATCCTAGCGACCAGCTTCTTTTAAACGATTCTGTATCTAAATTCAAGACTGGGTACGAAATGGCAAATGAACATAAACCCCAAAAAAACTGTTGCGATGACCATAACCCTCAAAAAAGATCCTTTAAAATTCCGATACAACCTAGGCAATCACTCCTTATCATTCGTTTCGCAATATACGTACCTTGGCCTTGTAATCACATCTGATTTAAGGTGGAACGATCACATAGCTTACATTGAAAAAAAGGCTTTGAGAAAACTAGGTTATTTACGAAGGACGCTAGCTAAAGCAACCCGCGAGACTAAGCTACTCGCATATAAAACGTACGTAATACCATTACTTGAATACGCGTCGCCTGTATGGGACCCCACCACACAGCTAACATTGATAAACTTGAATCAATACAGCGAAAATCTGTACGGTTCGTGTTTAATGCCTACCGACACGACACATCTCCATCAGCTCTTTTGGAAAGCGCTAAGCTGAAACTTTGCAATGGAGACGTTACCATGAAAGAATGAAGTTGTTCTACCTCATATATAATGACAACTAGCAATTCGGAAAACCAATTACATTAAACCATTTTGCGCCGCGAAACGCGCTCCTCCCACCCTAAAAGAATTGATGAGCTTCTCTGTCATACTAACATATATCGGTACTCCTTTTTTCCCCGCGCAATCAACGAGTGGAACAAATTGCCACCAGAGGCTCTGGAAAGTGTCGATCTGAAATCATTTCTCCGTGCGTTACCTGCTCCATCTTTCTGATAGCTACACTCCCATTTCCTTTACAGTGCCTTTGTTCTTGTGCCCATTTTAGACAAAATATTTGCCTTACAATTTGCCACGCTTGTAACTAACATGCCCGGATGTACTTTTTGAATTGTTGCTGACTATTCTTGTACTTGAACTTTTTTTTTTTTTTTTTTTTCACACAGCAAAACCTGCTGAGCACTACTTTCGTGCAGTTTTCAGTATAGCCTTGTATGGCACGGCAATTGTGGACTGCATTTCCAGTTTCCTTTCTATGTGAATCAACGCGTTCCTTTTTTTGTACCACTGTATAATCTGTTCAATATTTTTTTTTTTTTTTTTGTACTTCCTGCATTTGTGTTCATTGTACCGCCCACCCCTGCCCTTACTTTCAGCCATTTTTCGCGACACAATACTATCGGCAGAGTCATTTGGCCTCCCTGATAAAGCTGTCTCATTCTCGCTCACTGGCACTGAACCATCAACAACTTCCTCTTGAGTGTCTTCAGTAGGCAACTTGTCTAGAGTGTCACTCAGAGGCAACGAACTATGGTATTCAGGAGGGCTCGAAATGTCTCCTGCTGCCGCTGCTTCCGACAGGTACGACTGCTTGCTTGTTGCACCAGACTTATCTGATGCTGCTGAAGCCTTCGAAATAATAGGTGTGGCCAGTTCTTCAATATAGTCAGGATGCCTAACTAAAGCCGTAAGTGACTGCGAAGTAACACTAACAACATGGCGGTCTCATCTGGAGTTGCGACCGCACCTGCCGCCCCTATGCTTGGAACTAGGATGGGCAGCAGTAGTCTGCTGCGGTTGTCTTCATATGAAGTGCCAGAAGCAGTGTTGGTAGTGGGCCAGAACTTTCTGTCGCTCCATTGGCTCAAAAGCAACGGAGTTTTCGGCTCACCTTCTGATGGCTTGACACCAGGGATCTCATCTAAAGTGCTGACCGCGCCTGGCCTGCTGTCGGCACGAACTGGTGTCAGTGATCCGCCATTGCTATCCAGTTCACACGAAGTACCAACCGCAGTGTTGTTGGTAGAGTGAATGTTCTGGAGCTTCGGTGGCAGTGTTGCAATGCTGTCGGAAGCGGTGGCTGAAAATCGCAGCTGGTGTGGTACCAACAGCGTCATCGATGGTGGCGAGCAAGTCATGCCCAACTCTCGCGTCGGAGTGCTACGTGGGCTGAAGAAGGGAGAAGTGCTCTCGCTTTCAGAGTCCGTGCACGGATGCTCTGCACTCGTTTGGGATTCGGCGTCGCGAACCGGTATTCTCGAACGTTCCATGGACGCTTCCACACACTTTCGTACTTCATCCAAGAACTCGGCCCGTATCTCTTGAACCACCATCCTTGCTAGCCGAAGCAGGGTCTCATCCTAAAATTTAAGGCAAATTTACCGCTGTTAGGTCACAGATGACAACATCGGTATTTTTGTTTTTTAAAGGGCATTAAAAGATAGCAAGAACACCAATATCTAGAAATGCAGTTAGCATGGTTAAGTCCAATGCAACTGACACCCTTTGTGAAGATGCACAAGACACTTGTGCTTTTTTTAGTACAGCCGACTCCACTCATAGTGATACCGTTTACAATAATACATCAAATATAATGATAAACAACGATTACACCTATCCAGTTTTATAAGCTTTCTATGCTAACATAAACGGCTGATTGCGACGCTCCTGGGAGCGCGTGTGTCCTGTCCTATCACTTCAGTGTCACGCTTAACTTTATGCTAATTAAAATGTTTTCATCTCTTCTTTTTTTTTTCAACCCACTTATAATAATTATCGGTCATAACGATGAGATTTCCTTGGCACTTGAATATCATTATAAGTGCGCTGTGCCATATCATCCACACCAAAAATATCAAGTTGTGCCTGCATATTTTGAGGCTTGTTGAAACACTGGGTTAGTTAGTTTTGTCTGCACAAGCAATCATTCGAATTTGGTGAAAAAAGGCTGGCTGACGAAACAAAATATGAGGAAGCAATTTTCGGTTCCCGACTACTTCACATCAGCACATTAAAACGACATCACGAATTTCAATCTGTTTTGGCATACCTCTCACTGTCATCCCTAAAAGGTTGAAAAATGAGACTGCTTTAACCCTTTCAGATGCCAACTATCAAGAAATAATGTCTGTAAATGTGTCAAATCGCTACAACGTTACTTGAAGGTACTCAAAATTCCATTGCAACAAAAATGAGATAATTGTTGAATATGTGTGTGTCATAGTAACTTGTTCTAATTAAGTTGCAATTAAATATCTCTTTATCCTGAATTCATTGATGCTTACTCTTGGCATAAATAGAATCTAATCTCAGGCTAGAAATACAGTGGAAATTTATTTTTGGTTGTGTCAGTTGTGAGCAAGGAAAATTTCTACTTTTCACATTGCTTGCCGAAAGCGGCACATCGCACGACTCATCAAGCGTGGCAGTGCCTTCAGAAAAGTGATCATATGTATCAGTACACTGCAAAATGAGGTTGAATGAAGACAAATTATACATGCAAGAGGTTCAATTCATCTAACGTACGATATATCTTGCTCTTCCTTAGTCTCTACTTGATGCAAATAACGAAAACGAGTGGTGTACATGGCGCCTGAATGGGTTAACATGCAACATCTTTATACAACTATTAGCTATTTTATTTCTGTTCTCAAGCAGACAAAGTTAGTGCCTCATGGCATTTCTCACTCAGTTTTTTTTTTTTTTTCAGACTTATCAATAAGCTTTGAAGCAAGACTACCCCTATGATGGCTGAGCAATGGAGCCTTTGCGAATACGACATTACTACACTTCTGCAAAACAGTCCATCATTATAATAATCATCATTATAATCAGCCTGTCTTATGTCCACAGAAGGACGAAAAACCTTTTGCACTGATTTCCAACCACACCCTGCACTGAGCCAGCTGATTCCATTTTATGCCTCCAAGTTTTCTTATTTTCGTTGTCCCTCCTATCTCTTAGCCATCGCTGTCAGCCCTTCCATTCTAGCGAACAACACTAATGGTGAAGTGTCTGTTCAAAGTGACAATAGCATTCCCCTGCCAGATGCAGCTATAGCTTTCTGACCAAAAAGCAGGGTTACGTAAACAATGTCACCGTGAAGGGCATACTCACGCTTGGCACAGGCGGAATGCTAGGCACAGATGAAATGCAACCCGCAGTGTCATCCGGTCCTGCAGTATGAAAACAATACACAGACCTTGACAAACATCGTTGTAACAAACCACATATGTCACTTCGTTCACTACTAATCCAAGTACTGCTAAGCAAAATCCAAATGTGGCACATAATCTGATGGCAGCATGGTATACTCACGCTCATTGAAAATAATAATAATAAAAAAAGCTGACAATGGACACAGCAGTACACAAGATAAGGTTACCAGCAATTAGCAGCTACTTGGAAATTGATTATCACACTCAGCATTACACAAGTGACAATAAAGTGTTAGTAGTAAGCAATAACAGCAAGTTATTCTTATAAAAGTATTACTAGTAATCAATGCTGCTCATTTTCACAAGCCCATTTTTCTAGAATATAGAGGCAGGGGTTCACAAAAAACTTGAATACGATTAAAATAGTCCTTGCCATTCGATTTGGTTAGTGAATTCAGTACAACTTTGAAAAAGTAAAAAGCTCGGTAATACTCAAGATCACTAGAAGCCCGGTCAGAGTCTTGAAAAAGAGATGAATCCAAGTAGTGACTGTTTCAACAAAGTCACTAGTTCCTGAGCAAAGAGATGCGGGAATTCACCTTCGGCAAGTAATTTGTGGTCATTCAGATGAACCCGTTTTACACTAAGGCAGCCGACATACAAATCAGTCAACATTATCTAAACAAACCGATATGATTATCTAAAAACATTGGCTGTATCTGAAAGCATGTATTCATTCTCTTATTAAAACTAGGGCTTAAGCATTACTACCAGCACAACTAACTGTACTGACTATAGCAATTTGTTTTCCTACCGATCGGATAGTTAAGGCTCCCGACAGCACGCGAGCCAAATATTATAACGCAAGCATGCGGCCTGGAATTCACAATATATTATCAAAGTCAGCTAGAAATAGCTTTCTCTTCTCTCAATCACGGAAAAATAAGCCCAGTAAGCCCATTTATCAGCCATTGGCTGATTTGAACATGGCGTGCTCTGTTGTTAGAGAGGTTGCCATGAGAGGCCGTTACTTGTACACGCGTGCGTGCGTGATCGCACTGAAAAAACTGCGCATCCGAAGAAAAAAAAGAAAAAAAAAAGGCTCAAGGTCACGAGGCGCAAGAGACGTTTTTTGTTTGCAACTCCCCTTCCTCCGTGCTCGGCTTCCAGCATTTTCGTCGGGACGAGAGCAGAGAGAACACGGTTGCAGCGTGTAACAAATCTTTGTGACTCCGCTCCTACTAGACGGATTCTTAAAATTTTTGTGGCATTCAATTGGTGAGGTAATACGCTTTTCCAGTGAATTGATTCCATGGTTACACAAAAAAAAGTGTTTCAGGGCCCCTTTAACACAAAATAAGCAATCAATTTTTTCTGTTGCTGATTTTTTCTTTTTCTGTTCTTCAGTTCTTATACAATATTTCACTTTAAATGATAACCTTAGATTGCACTGAAGTCCTTGACAATGGGACCATTGTCTGCATATCACACACCGAGTGCCACTTTTGAGAGAACAGTTAACTGAAAATGAACACGTAGATGTAGACAGCTTGCAAGACTCACATGAGGCGCATCTTCATAATTACCCACTGAGCTTTCGAGCCATGCATAGAATAATCAGGCCACTAGCAGCTGGAGACTGCTTCATTTTCTCAATTTTTGCTTGGCGAAGCGGGGTTGCTTGTCTTTTTCAACGTTGCTGCCTTCAAGAAGACAAGGCCTCTTGTTAAAACGTTGGCTCCAGCAACGCATTCTGTTCCAAGAATTTGTTATTGCTTCAGGAGTGAATACCGTATTTTTACGGTGTGCTACCGATGTAAAATGACACCTCATAAACCCCCGCACTATTTCTCCGAACCTGCTCTCGTGGAGTCCGCTTGAGGTTCCTCCGCGAGCTGCTCAACGCGTTGCTCCGACACAGGAACAGCAGTGGTATGGGTCACGGTCGCGCTGGCCCCATCGGTTCCTCGTGGCATGGTACAGTTCACTGCCGCCATGGGGCGCGGTTCTGCAGGTACAGTCTGAAATGCTCCAGAGGAACCGACTTGGTTCACAGACGTGGAAAGGCCAATGTGGTTCACCGACGCACTCTCCGGCAGATTGCTTCGCTTTTGCTTCGTGGGTGGTCTAGAGGAAGGACAAAAACGCATGAGTAGAAACTAAAATGGACCCCCAAGCGTGGGAAGAGGGGGGGGGGGAGAGAGAAAAAAAAAAGACATTTTCCCAAGCACCAAAGCATCATTAAAGAGACACTAAATAGAAATATTGAGTATTGGATTGGTAAACTGCACTCTGAGAACTCTAATGTCATAAGTTTCGCTGTCATAACTTCATTATTATTGGAGAAAATCAAGGTTGAAGTTTCGTTTTCAAATTTCGCACCATAATCCCCGCACGTGATGCAGAAAATTCCACAATGTATATTTCGTATTTTCATGACATGGGCTCCCCGAAATTTTCTGAGACTTTGTATGTCAAGCCTACGGCGCCCTCAGATTACAATGTACTTCAATTTTTTTAATTAGAAGCTACTTAGGAACCAGTAAGATGCCTTTAAATATTGATGACTTCACAGTGTTTGATGCGGGAATCTCCACCCGCAGTTTCTTTTTTGGTGCACTTTCTCGCTTACCAAGCGTCGTGCTGCGGTAAGAGTGGTGTTTTCGGGATCGCGAAATCGTACTTTATGCAAAAAAGCATTTTGCTCGTCAGTGTCCATTCAAGTCAGCACATGCCTCAATTACTCACACTTTCATTGCCATCAGAACATGCACATCTTCCAGTAGAGATACAACAGAGAGAAATGCAACAAAGACACGAGTATATCGACTGAAAAATCAATGACATTGTATCTGCCAAGTCTTTTTAAGCAGCCAAAAATCTTCATTTTTATGTAGCCTAAGAAATGCACATTGTTTTGCAACCCTTTGGGACTGAACACAGAGAAGCGGAAAATTTGGAATCGGACCTACCACATTTATTCAATTCATGTGTTACTCAGCTCACATGGCCAGCGGGGAAACGAAAAAAAAAAACAAAACAAAATGATCACGATGCTCGGAATGATACTAGACTGTCTCGCAAACGCTCGAGCACTTACGGTATCACGACGTACTACTGGCCGCTTCTTGAATGTGCATGAAAACAAGCCACAAAACACCATTTGTAAACAAAGCTCGTAAAAGTATCGAATAACACAGTTCCGCCATCAGGCCCTACCGTTCGTGAAGCAGCCCCAGCTGTTTTGGCATACTCATTGCAAGCAGGCACGTTGAAATTCAATGTGAAATTCGTGCTCAACGCGTTTTGAGGTCACTGCGTACCAATAATTACCTGCACAGATCGTCCATGGAGGCCCTGACACCGGTGGGAGCCGCTTTGATGCTTAGACTCTTTGCGAACGCGTCGGGGCTCAGGCAGTTCGCATTTTTCGGCATTCTCCCCTGCCAGACGAGGTCGCAGTGGACGACTTCCTTGTGAGCCATCGTTGCAACCATGTAGTTTAGGCTGACTTCGTCTCCCTCACGCAGTACCTCCTTGAGATCATCTAGAACGACCTCCCCGTCCTTGTAGAAGTAGCCATTGGTGAAGACTATCTCGCGCACGCCTTCCGCCTCTTGGACCCTGACCGTGGCCATGCAGTCGAGTAGTTCAACGATCGTTCCCCTCACGCTGGGATAGATCGAGATGGAAGGCTCCTTTGTAGAGTGAGCCATTGGCGCGGAAACATGTTGCACGCCCGAGTCGGCCTGCAAAAACACCCGCAACCTCTGTAGCTGCCGCAAAGCCCGCATCTGAAGCGTTGTAACCTAAAGGCTGTTTCACATAGAAAGACTGCAGCACAAGGGGAGAAAAAAAAAAGCAGGTGGCTACTCCTTGTGTCATATATTAATACTTATTAGCATGCACGTGCTATAATGACAGTGTAATTTCTGTAGTAGCAACTTTGGAGTTGTCCTCAGATATCTGATGTTATCTGAAGCTATCTGCCACTAGAAGTTATCTCTGCTGTTTGAATGTTCACTTGAACATCATTATCACCAAGTCACATCTGCCATAAATATACTTCGTTATATCTTATGTTCGAAACTTTGTTATAAGCGATTATTTGTAACACTATCCATGACAAACTATTCTTCACTTACTTCGTTAAAACCAATAATTTGTTATATTGAAGGTTGAGTGTCCCCTGCTATTTGAAGCTATTTCGGCTGTCTGAATCTACCATCTATTTGAAGCTATTCACACTGCCTGAAGCTACAGCTAGCTAAGGCTATCTTTGCTATCTGAACCTATTTTCTATTTGGAGCTACCTCTGCAGTTCGAAGCTACCTACTCCCTTATGCTATCTGCCCGAACCTACCTACTAACTGAAGTTATCTCCGGTGTCTGAATCTGCCTGCTACGCCAAGCTATCTCTGCTACTTGAAGCCAACTCTGCTATCTTAATCCACCTGGAACCTATCTGAAGCTACCTGCTATGAAGCTATCATGCTATCCTCTCTGAGTTCATGTACAATCCCAAGCTATCTTGGCTCTATGCATCTGCCTACTACCTGAGGCTATATCTGTTATATGAATACTTGCTGCCTGAAGCTATCTCAGCTGTCTGAGCCTACCTTTTTGAAGCTACCTGAAAATACTCACACCTGTATAGTTGAAGGAAACCAACACCATGTCAATAGTCTTCCTTGGTGGCTTTAAGGGCAATGCAGTTTTTAGAAGATTACCTAAAATGCAACTGGAAACAAGCTGGCCTCATGTGAAATGACATAAAAGGCAGGAAAATTGATAGTTCAATGGCATTTTGACGTTGCACAGCTAAAAATCGTGCCAACTGTAACAACCGTGCAATCCACATCACCGAACGCTGTTGCAAGGTCGCATGACGGTTGATGCAGTTGCACCGCAACAAAATAAACTGTGTTGCCATGTGAAACAGCTTCAAGAGTCCATCGCAGTATTTAAAACCATTCAAGGTCACGTACAAAGTGTGAAGATATTGCTCAGGAAAGGAAAGAAAGAAGGAATGCATGAAAGTAACAAAATGATGAAACATGCGCCAGTTGCACGCCAGCTAACTTGGGTCCCCGCAGGCCTCTGCACATAGAACAGGGCTTAGATGATTTTGCGGAGTCATCACGTCGCACTGCAGCAACCCCGCATCGATACGTTTCACACAGTTTAGAGAAGCACAGCCTCTACACAGAAGCTAATGACATGCTTGACGTCTGCACAGATAACTATACCATCAGTTGCACTTCAAAGCATCTAGTGCAAGAAATGGTTTTAAAGTTTGTTTTACATGGCGATCATAAGCACGTTATGAGGTTGGTGCCCACTAAGGAGCCTGAGTAATGAAAGGAAGGCATGCAAAATATGAATGCAAAAAAGACAATTAGACAGCAGAAACAATGTTTGTAATGTTTGTCTCGTGTTCCATGTTTCGTGTGTCCCCCTTTCCATGCCACAAACTCCAACCAACTTTTCTCAACTCCAACCGACAGTGCTGGAATAAAATGGTGACTTTTTTTTTTTCTCCCACAGTGCAGTCACCAATATCATGTTTCAGCAAACTTTCAGATGCGCTTGTTTTCTGCAGTACTCATGTAGGAAGGTAACCATTACTGTGGGTTAAAGTAATCTGACAAGTCGTCTCCAAAAAAAAAACAAACAGCCAAGCAGTTGTATTTGTGCCTACTCTAAATGAGTTCCTGCTGCAAGGCTGTTTTCGCGAATGAAAAACAGTGAAAGTACTGGTGCTTATTCTACGAAAATAACAAGCAAGTGGCGTGTGCTGAAAATGTGGCATATCTTGACAAAAGTGGGAAGTTTGGCGGGTCCTGTCATGAGACAACAAGTCCATTTCGCGTGAATGCCGAGTGATGCAACAATAGATTGATTGACTGACAGAATAGTCAAGTGGTGGACCTGTGACACTGTTCCGTAAAGCTTGCAAAGACAGAAGTGTAGCAGAGGGCGAGTGCCATAGAGAATATCAAAGCAGGGGCATCTTCTCCCAGAAGAACATGCGATGAGCATGGACAGAGAAAGCTAGAGTAAAATGCCATGCCAGGGAGGTCCAGAGGGGTTGGACGTAAAAATGTACGTGCTCTTACATTTACTATGGCGTGAGCACCAGTCTGCTTCGCCTTGGAGTCCCCTGGAACAGGGCAGTAGTTAAAGCTGTAGACACGTTGTGCGAGCTCCCGATGACCAGGACAATCCGCAATGCATAACACACTCTGAAACTTGACAATGTTGTGCACACACACGCCTACACGCACTTATAAGAAGCGCTTATACAAAGGAGTAGAGTAACGCGATGCTAAGAATATTTCCTAGCTTAAATTTGCCTTTGCTCGACTGCATCAAGAAAAAATATCAGCACGGCCGACAGCCATCGCTGTCCCTCCCACAGACAATTCGCATCCATGCTCCATCCAATGACGCTTACTCATTTTTGTGATGTCAAGCCCTTGGCGAGTTTTAGATAACTTACTTACCCATAAAAATGCCCTCTTTTTTTTTTTCTCACTGGTTTTTAGTTTAGAAACTTTAATGTTCTGGTGAGTATTGTTGGGGACTCTTGACAGCACTGCTGGTTCAAATGTTATGCTCATCATACCAACAGGTGCAGCAGCACACTTTTGAAAAAGACCAAGGGGACAAGAAAGGCTAGACATTTGCTACCCTTTGTCCTCTATATTGCTGTCTCCTTTGTCATTGTCAAAAGTACGCTACTTTGCCTGCGTGGTATGACGATCGATCACCGACTAGACCAGTTTTCAACCCTACTAAATGTAACACTTCAGGCAGACACAACGAAAATTCCGTTACGTTCAACTCCCAATATACATAGAAGCTACGTTAGCTGAAAAAAAAAAAAAAAAACCCCTCGTGATTCAAGCACAAATTTGGTAGAGTGACTCTCTCACGTGTGAACGGCAAGTGCACCATGGTTTTGTAGGCAGAAGTTGCTTTTTATTTCTGATGCTGTCGCAGACTGTAGACGGCGAGTCAAGTTTTATACTGAGATATACAAGGGTTCATTTTCTCTAGACAAATGGGCCTGCCCATTCCCTCCTTACTAAGCCCAATCTCAACAAAAATATTGTTTATACTACTACTACTACTACTACTACTACTACTACTACTACTATACTACTCAAAAGTGAGGGTGACATGACATACATAGAGAAATAGTTCGGCATCGTTTTCATAGATACAAGCGTGTTTGAGACTTGCAATGCTAGTCGCACATTAGGTAAATGACTGTCAACACAGTGCAAGGTCACGAAACTAGCGCAACCAATCCAATTGTGGCAGATATTCCTATATGCGATAATTCTACAAGTAACTCCACAATCGCCCCGTTCTGAAGCACAAGCCACGCCAGCTTTCCTTTCATAGATTTGAGCATGGGCAACAGACAAGAAACTTACTCTGCGGTTGCTGGTCAGTGACGGCTTTTTTGTCAACTGCTACATCCAGCATCTCTTCTGCAAGGCTGTTTTCCAAGTGTGACTTGCTCTGCGGTTGCTGAACAGTGACCGCTTCTTTAACGGCCGTTGCACCTAGCATCTCTTCTGCAAAAGTGTTTGCCAAGTGTGGCTGGCTACCATTGTGCTGGCTCGCATCCACCAAGACACCAGGGTCAGAGCGGCTGCACAGATGATCGGGCAGCAAAAATTGCCTATGGTGAGCTTGAACAAAACTATCAGGCTGAAATGAGCATGCAGGTAGATCAGGTATCAGAAATTCAAAAGTTGAATTTCAAAAATTAGGTTCGGATAAGCAGCTTCAACTACTAGTTGTATTTCATCCTAGACACATGGTATTCTCCTGGACTGAACTTTATGCAAACAACATTTCAAAAATTTCATAACGACAATTACATATCCATTTTGCGGGCCTCCTTCAAAGAATACTTCATTCCACTTCTAACTACCGGTGCCTTCTGTACACACTTTCCCCCTGCTCCAGCTATGAAAAGATGGTGTAATTATACCTCTACATTTTTGTGCAAGTGGCAAGTAAACAAAATGAATAAACATACATATCGAATGTGACTACAGCGCATAGGAAGACAACAGACTGATCAAGACTTGTTTATTGTTCTGCCGTCTTCACATGAGCTGTAGTCACATTAAAAGCGTAATGCCAACTAACCCGCACCGAAACAATGCTTCAAGATACTTACAAAGGCTGCTGAGGGCTACTGCTTGAGCTATTGCGTTCAGCTGCTCGTGCACACAGAAGTTTGAGAAAGTCTTCGGGGGTCAGGCAAACTGCATCCAGGGGTTTCTTTCCTAGCCATGCGAGGGAACAGCGTGCCTCTTCCCTGCCCTGACTCGTGCCAACAATGTAGTCGACGGAGACCTCGTCATCCACTCGCAGAACCTCGTCCAGACGGTCCGTGATGGCTGTGCCATCTTTGTAGAGACAGGTGAACCTAAGGCTCCTAGAGCCGGAGGCTTCCTTCACTTCGCACAGCACCTCCCGCGAGGCTACTAAAATGACAACTGCCCGCCTGCCCGGAAAAATGTCGACAGACGGTTTCCCGGGGAAGCGTGCCGCCTCTCGGCACGGACCACCTTGTTCGTCCTCTACGCACCTCTCGTCCATCGCCTTCGAGCACTTGGAGGTGAACGTGTGTTTGCTGCACTCGACACTGAGCTGTGGCGGCCGTTTGCCGGTCCACACGAGCGTGGCGAGCCATTTGCCGTTGTCTTCGACAGCATCGAAGAACACCTCCACCCCATCTTTGATGTCTGAGCTCCAAGGCAGCTCGTCGAATGACTTGATCTGCCTGCCTGCATTGTACACGGAGGAAATTTCTGCAAATGATCTAACCTTCCCATCCACAGAGCAGATGCAACCAGCTTTGTCAGACTGCTTGAAGAAGATTCCCCTAATCTTCGAGAGCGTCCGGCGTGAAGACCATGGCACGGGCTTCCCCCCGGAAGCTTCATCACCTGTACGTAATGAATCCTTCGGAGTGTCCTCTTCCCAGTCGGGAAACCCCACCGAGTAATCCCTTACATCAACGTCAGACGATTCTGAGTCGCTGCTACCATCAAGAATACTCTTCATGTCAGCCTCATCTTCAGACATAAAGACTTCATCGCCACTGTCGACGTCTGACTGAGCAGCACCATCCATATCGGACGGGACAGACCAAACCCTGGTGGCTTTCCACTTGACCCACTTGCTGCCTTTGCTGTCTGGCTTCGCATCAAATCGGACCCGGTCGTTGGTTGTGAGTATGTCGGCTAAGTTCCTGCTACCCTTGGTGAGTGCCTTGTCCACGACACTGCTGTGAAAGAATGCGCAGCTCTTCTTCTTCAGGCCGAATGTAATAAAGCCGAAGTCTGGCTTCACTGTGTGTATAATGCCGGATTGGTCGTACAGCCGGTCCTCCTCGTTTATGGACAGCTTTTCAGTTGGCTTCGATGCTGAAGCAACAACCTCCTGTATGCGTTCCACGCGGGTTGCTTTGAAGGCGGCCTTGTGCCCCTCCGATTTAGCTGCGTCAAGAATGCACACAGTCACCTTCAATCAGGCCAGCATACATCAGAGAGGTGTGCCGATTGCCTTCGAAGCTCTTGACGTCAAAGTAGACGGTTGTCTTGAGGGGTTGTTCAACAGTTATAAACCCAAAGTTTGGGAATATGCGAAACTACTTTTCCCGACACTCCACACAGGGCAGTGGCGTCGTCGGCTGCAACTTCCTGAGGTGTAGCTGTTTTAGGCGAAGGTCGCAAATACACTCGACCAGAATTGTCAATCACAAACACTTCTGGATGTTTTTCTATGAATTTCTGAATCGCCTCCTCATTCCAGCCATGCTTTACAGGTACGCTAGGAGGCAGTGATGACATGTGGCCTGGCAGCTTGCTTATGCAAATTCCTTGGTTAGCCTCAATACGCCTCTTTAGAAACGACAACATTTTGGCATTGAGGGATTGTAGCCTGGTGACTAGAAGATGAGGCTGTTGTACCTGCAAGTAAGGAGGCAGATGTACGCAATTCGGGTAGCACAAGCAAGCTGCTAAGTATGCTGCGCATGTTCCACATTATGCAATATTAATAATCACAAACACACACACACACACGTGAAGATGGCAATGAAAGTTCTGCACCAACAACTTGAAAGAGAGTATACACCAAAATCAGATGATAGGTTGACTGCAGCATGAGCTTCATGTGCTTGCATCAAGGCCTGCGATGAATTTTGATATTTAGAAATGAGGTGTGGTGCCTCTTCCAGAACTGTTGTGACAACTATTAGCGAAAACCTCGGGGGATCACCTCAAAAAGAGTGATGGAGATACGTATAGCAAATATGATGACCATTTTCAAAGCAACTTTTCGACAAGCACATCCTGGATGCAGCCATAACATCTCAAAAGTGTTGTAAATGCGAGATACCCCACGAAAATGTACAGCCAAGGCAGCAATATCAGCCTTTGTACTCCAGTGCAACAGAGCAGAAAGGAGGCACCTGTCTTTCGCTGATGAAAAGGTCCCTTCTACCTAAACAATGCGGCCTCATGTAGTATGAAAACATTTCTAAGTCCAATTTCATTTCTGCACAAGGCAGCAAACCACTTACTTGTACTAGGTTAAAGGAGTACTGACACAAAACTTTTGCCACGCATTTTTTTTTTCTTCCGAAATGTGTTCCTGTGGGCCTATTAGTCATAACATGGCACATTGTTTTCTGCAGCAAGCAACATAATTACAGGCTCCTCATTATTGACCAGTGTCGGTTTCTGTTTGAAAGAGCTCCGAAAACAACAAGCCACCAGGTGAAACAATCGCCACGTGGCGTGGGCAGCTCTTGACCCATGTCAGCCTATAAAACTGTGACGCACTCCCGCACGGTACGCATCAAGAAGTCCTTTCGAATAGGGAACGGGACTGCAGTGTCGCCAAACACAAAACTTTTTTTAACATGTGCGCTGCGACCTCACACTCGCGTCCAGCCACTGAGATGTATAGACGGCTGGAACAAACATGGCAAAATAAAAATAGAGGCTACGATGTCATCATAAATTGTTTTATTGACTGCAGCGTGGCGACGTGAAGGCAGTAAGTAGGTCCCCATAGGGTCCCTTTTGATGGTGTCAATAACTTCAAGATCCAAACTTCAAAATTGCTGTAGAATACCTTCCAAGCTATATTAGCTATTCATAATTTGCAGATGGTATATGCATGTTCATGGAAATTGATCCCACAGGCTATCTCGCCCGATATTGTGTCAGTACCCCTTTAACCTCACAACCTCCCTGCATTTTCTTTTTCATCTATGTCTCTCTCTCAAAGTTCAATGCCAAAGGATAAAAAATAATAGTTTCACATCTCTACTTGCTCACATTCAGGCAAACACTACTGGCCGCATTCATTCTTCGACAACATTGTTTCGTTGCTGGGAGACGTACGCATGAAATCCAGCAGGCAGACATTACTGCCCTGGTAACCCACGTGATGTTACTGTGACAGTGACGCTCGTTCCTGTCATCACTCTGAGGTGTTCCACCACTGTGGTGGGAACTTCGGCAAAATCGTTAAATGTGCCATGTAAATCGTGCAATATTAGTAGCACTGACGTGCACTTACTAGCAAATATCGTGGCCCCCAATTAATGGCCTTCAACATAAAACTATCACAGAACTTCTTGGTGTCTAAAACTCCTTGTAAGAATGTTTTCGACACATTTACGACCAAATAGTTACTATAACGAGAAATCGGAAGGGAAAATCGCAGAATTTCAGGAGCTCTTCCCGAATCAGGGCTGTGGCAGCAAGCAAATCTTGGTGTGCCCGACGTGCTGCTTTTCCTTCCTTAATATTTTTGAAATAAAGATAGCAATTATATGGACACTCTCGGCTGATTTGATATGTACCAGGATATGTATATGTATGTATACAGGGTGTTTCAAGAAATGTGTCCAATATTCTTTAAAAATCACAGAAAAGGAGGTTCCAATATTATTTAAAAATCGCAGAGTATCTGTCTGCTACTTGAGGCATTGCCTTTCTTGAGGCAGAAGGCATCTTTAATGCGTAAAAACAATAATTATGGGAGTAATTGTTGAAATTAACACATTAACTTTTAACCAGTGGTGAAAGCCAGTCGAGTCAAATGGATGAATTCAAGCCCATCCTACATACAGTCCATAGCCACTGAAATTTCGGAAAAGCGGCCACTGGTAATCATCACGGAGCGATGCAATGAGCCTGATTTAGCTAGAGAAACGGAAACTGACGCACCAAGCGGCTATTTTGACCACCCAGGGATCATTAATGTGCTACCAAAATGAGCTACACAGGAATTTTTAAAATTTTATCACAATCTGTATGCGACACGTATGGCTGAGAATTAAAACAAGTACCCTTGTGCTTGGAGCAGTACAGCTGTTATGCTAGCATGGTGTACATAGCTCCCTGGATCATGTAAGACATCAGCGCACAAAAGATAGAGTTGAATCGAGTAGGCATATGGCGGCCCAGCGTTAAGTAAGCGTTTTCTTGGAGCTGACACCCTGTTCAGTCATTTCACGGTCCTACCACGATGTTGACTAATCACTTTAACAGTCAACCAACATTGGCAAGTTATTAGACTACGAGTGTTTAAAGCCCTAAAGGCTCACATTGTGCCACGAGGGAAGACACACTGAAGATTATCCAATTAATTTTGACACCCAGGGCTTTATGGGCACGTACCGTAAATCGCTACCCACACGAGCACATTTTCCCATTCCAATCGGCTTCGGCATGCATCGTAGGGAATCGAACTTGCAACTTCAGCAGACTGAAGTGTCGTTTGAGTGGTAGAGCTTTAACGCGCTCGCAGCCTCTCCGTTAGACAGCCAATTTTTATTTATCTGTCCACTTGCAACGAGGCTCCAAAGATATTTAGACCACATTTGACGGTTGGTGATACCGGATGCCGTCTACCCACTTGTCTAGTGAAGCCGACCCAACGGCACAAAAACAAATGAAAGCGGTCAAAAAAGTACTCTTACTTGCACTAGCATACCATGAAATATAGATGCCACAGCGCTACCTAACACATACTTACTGCAGGATACCCAATTGCAGGAGGGAGCAAGGTGTTCTTCGCGGAACTTTCGGTCGAAAACGAATAATCGACGCACGTACGGAACAACAATCAGGTCGACATACCACACTTTCATCGGCGGAGTAATCTGCGCAGCTGCCAAATTTTGCGCTGTCATAAGAAATAAACGTGACAATAATTAAGGCACGGTCAATGAGCACTAGTCACGAAGAGAGAACACACGTGCACGATGCGGCGAAATCAAACGGATCACGCTTCCGTACATAACTTTCGTAGGAACAGTGTGAACTAAGGAAAGCCATATACTGGAACTGGAGTACACAGCGAGTTAGAACTATTACCAAAACTATAACCGCCTCGAAACGGCCGGCGCACCGCGGCTGAGCAGTACGGCGATCGCAGGCATAAAATAGCAACTCTCGCCAGACTGATTTGTCAAGATGCTCTAGTCAAAATCTGCACAGCAAAGCTGCGCGCTCGTGGCCGTTCTGATAGAATACCCTTACCTTAACTCTTCAGCTGAGCACAACGTCCATTTGTACACACAGTTTCGAGATCTGTCAAACGACCGCCGAGATCACACTCAGATCGAGCTCGCCGCGTTTCGTATCAGCCTACCAGTTTGGCCGCGTTCGTTCATTCGGAGCACGTGATTCGGAGTGACCAACCTTTCTCTCTCTCTCTCCTTTTCTTCAAGCCTCCGAGCTGCCAATCTTTAAAACCTTATTTGTTGGAAGTCTCAGAGTCCGAGTTTGTGACGTGTTACAAATGAGTAGAGAAACCGAAACTCGTTTTTGTGTGTCGCGTTAGTCAAGTCAGTATTTTAAATGGAATCGTCACAGTGACTACTACCCATAAACATTATGGGCAATTCAATGGCCATGAAAAGAAGGTTGTTATAAGCAGGTGCAGGCATTTATTTCATTTGACAGTCCTTTCAGTTTCTAAGGCTTGGAAACAGTTTTTCTCCAAGAGAGCGATTGTGCCGACGCCTCGCAAACTATCGCATCAAATGCATTGCCCGTTTGTGGCTTCTTTTTATACGACGAAGGCTACGCACACATCATTCTTCACATTTTTCCCGTGGTTCCTGTGCATTCGCATCGTTTTTGGTTCGAGCGGGGACTAAGGCATTCACCCAGGGATCTCAATTAACCAGTCGTATTTCGTACAAGTTCACTTTCCGTGGCGATTTCATATAAAACCCCTAAAACATTCTCAGATCTTCAGCGTCTCCTTCAGCGCATAACCCATAGAGTTTCATACAATAATTATTATTGTATGAATCTCCATGGCATAAGTAGATATCTCGGTATCTACTAATGTTATTTTCGGCATGTTTCGTTTCTCGAACCAAGAACAAGGCCTGATCCCTAAAGCCTTACGCGCGCCAGGACCATGTTTGCAAGTTTTACGGCTTCTATGACGCAATTATTTTATCATACGGGTTAAACAACTGTTGATTAAACGGTCGTCGTGATCAACTTTGTGATCTTTTTTTGGTAGTAGCCATCAGTAGCCACAGGGTAGCCATAAATGCTGGACATCATCATCATCCAATTTTCGTTCCGTGCCAGTTCGCGTGTTTGGCCAGCTTGGCGTACCCGTGCGTTTCGTTCAAGTTCCCGGCGTTTAGCTGTTGCGTTCGCCGAAAGCTCACAGTTTTCCCCAAGGAACCATGTCTTCGTATTCCGCGTCCACGATGTCTTTCGTTTTCGACATGGCCATTCAGTACTGTCTCTTCCTGCCGCTCGACCTGTGGACGAAGCACGCGATCAGAACTCGCGGGTGAGTGAACTTTAACGGGCGCACTGTTCGCCAACGTTACTTGATCCAGCAGTTGCTGTTCGCGGTGTGTACCGCTTCCTCAGCTGTGCTTCCGTTCTCGGTACACTCGTGCGCTAGGCGTGAAAGAAGTGCTGTTTTTGTTCGTTTTTTTTTGTTCGATGATTCGTGGCTCAAACGTTCCGAGTGTGATTAAGATCCGGTGCGGCATTCCGCCCGCCGATTGCCTAGTCCTTGTACGAACGCGCCCGTATCACGCTTTCGTGGCGTCTTACGTGGGGGTTAAAGTTCGGAGACAACGGTCTTCTCCGCCTCGTCTGGTTGCATGGTACGGTGTGGTGCACCTTATGAATTCCGAAAAGGTCTGTCTGAAAGATCAGACCGATGCGGGCCACTACTCCCACGTCCGGGAAGAAAGGGCGAGCTTTTGTGCCCTCCGGATAGCCTAAGCTTGAACATCATCTGATGAGATTCGTACCATTAAAGGCCACCTTTTCCCAGTATTTTCCTCGTCCCTGATCAGCGTAGATCATGTGTCCAAGATCTAACTTGCCTTGGAAGGCCTGACAGTTTGAAGGGACGCTAATAAGAAAAACGAGTGACGCCGCGTTGAAGTTCCCGCATCGGTTACCGTGACGTCATAGATTTTTACGTTTACGTTTTACAGTGTTGTTTACACGAGCATACGTAGTTTATAAACCATAAAGAAGTACATTGTGGTTAGGGAGTCAGAGGGACCTTTTCATAGAAGTATCAGAAAGTTTCGTGGAGCTGATGCGGTTCAAATGCGAAGAAAAAAACAACAAAAAACCATGAAATCCTTGACATCACCAGCCGAGATTTCCGCGGGAAACTTAAAAGTGAAAGTATTGATATTGATCTTCTCATTTATGAATCAATCGGTGGTGGCGAGATTAACAATGCTACAGTTTTCAAAATATGATTAATGAGTCTAGGTTAGTGTATTGGTTCACTTATTGTGCGCCTTTAAAAATTATTCGTCATGTCTTCACAAAACATGCTTGTGCTATTGGCGTCAAAAGAAACACGAACAGGGGCAAGCAGCCTACGGAAGCTTCCGCATAGGGGTAATCTCATCTGTGGCACGAGCCATTCTATCCAAGTGCAAGCCTCCGGGAAGAGCTGTAGAGCTCGTGCAGGTCCCGGCTCACTCGCACTTAGCAGGCAACACCATCACCGACTATTGTGCCCGATAAGTGTCAATCTGGGCCGAGCATGAGCCGGAAGCGCTACCGCACTTGGTTACTGGCTTTTGGAACATTACCCGGATGTACGGAGAGGAAAGGTGCAGAGTTTTAGTACCGCACCCCGAACCGACCAGGCAAAAACAGACTATATTGTGTCGAGCGCAGGCTGGATCGCTTGCGCATCCCGTACTGCTGAACCGCATGCAGCCCGCGAAACATGGCATGCTTTGTTCGTTTTGCAAAAGAGGAAAGGACGCCCTACCGCACATCTTGGCAGAGTGCCCAGAACTCAAGAACCCCCCCCCCTTTCTAACCCCTTGAGCGATGGAGACCTTGTTATCCAGCCTCGCCCTATCGACGTAGCTTGCAATCACGGAGAGGGGCCAGAAGCCGCTGCGAACATACACGGGCCCCGCAACCAGGGAACCGCCCCGTCTGGTGCCTGCGTGCACTACCTACGATATCGGGCACAATAAATGTTGATTTATCATCATCATCATGCAATGGTACAGTGTACGCCATCCACTTATCACCATGGACAAGTGCGCATATGTGCAGTGCTGCTAAACCAGATGTGTACACCTGCCAATAGTGATGACGGGAGGGTGCACACTGTACCACTGCGAACGCTTGCTACTGCTCCAGTTTCACTTGACACTGACCGGTACAGTCACGTTACTGAGCTATAACATATCACCACTTGTTCAATCTTTCTGTCAGATCCCTGGCCGAACGGCAGCACATCTGGCGCTCGGAGGCGCAGATCCTGGCAGTCCTGTCGTTGCTGCTGGGGCTGTGGTGGATGCGTGTGCCGTGGCTGCTCTTGCTCCTGACAGCGTGTGCCTACTGTTCGGGTCGCGGTTGGAGCCCAAGCCTTGCCCTGGAAGCGGCCGCTTCCGGGGTGTTTGCCCTCTGGTTCCAGTGCATGGAGTGCATCGGAGTGGCCGTCGACGGAGGCCTGCGCAAAGTAGGTACTTCATAATTGAAAATTTTGTTGAAGCGCACTTAGAACGGATGGACAGACTGACAAGGACAGCGCTTGCATTAGGTTGTAGAGTGCCCTGAGTACTGGAAATAATGTTACGAGTAACTTCTTTAATAATCTATTTACAGCGCACAGAACTCGACGAGCAAGATGGCGCTAGTCCAGCATCAAACGAAAACTCACTTCGTCCTCCTCTTTCATGCAGCCGTGTTTAGCAGCTGTTATGTATCAATATATTGCAGCAAGATGACAAGTTGGGCCAGTTGGATTACGTTCATAATTGAAAATTTCGTTGATGCGCTCTAAAAACGGACGGACAGAAGAGGCTGACAAGCGCTGTCATTGTCAGCCTCTTCTGTCCGTCCGTTTGTAGTGCGCTTCAACAAAATTTACAATTATGAACGTAATCCAACTGGCCCAACTTGCTGCTAGGTACTTCATATCCACAAACGCTCATCATTTTCGCGTAGTACTGCTTAACTCCACTGTAGGGGTTTCAGCAGGGTGGCTAAAAACATGCATCACAGCATCAGTCAATAGGAGAAGGCTTGCATTGATGTCACTGAAACCACTAGGGTTGGATAACTTTTGCACGAGCGATTTGGTCTTTACTGAACATTTTGTAGTAGTGCAAAGTTCATTAAAAAGGCAGGAAAACAAAGAAAGAGAGGGAAGAAGAAATACAGGCTTTATATTCCCAATTCTTTAATCAGAAGGAAGGCGTCCTGTATAAACATGTGCATGTGAAGACACACTAAAACTAGACGAGGCCAAACAGGCATTATGCACATGTGGCCGCCTCCAGTAGTTCACAATCTCATTTCAGCTTAGCTTGTATTAGCATCGTACATATAAAAAGGAAAGACGACACAGACATAAAAAAGGTAGGTGCGAACATTTAGCGCATGTTTTTATTCACATGTGTGTCGTCTCTTCTTATTATGTTTACCATGCTAATGCAAGCTAAGTTCATAGATGACCAACTTGCCTGAGCAGCAACACTTCTGAGTTTTATTTCAGCATGATAGAGCCGATCCCTCCTCTAGAAAGATGCCTGCGACATAAGGTGAAGGGCTGGTTCCCGGCCCTCTCCTGTTCTCTCCTTCTCTGCTTCCTCAAGCAGTGTCACCGTGGCTGCTGATCTGATTGGTTGTGGAACGCATGGCACAGGCCCCGTGAAGGCGAAGTTTAGCCCCGAGCACTTGAAGGAAGAGCTGAGGGTGAAAGGTGGAGTGGAGGAGGGCGGAACCTGTTTATTACTCATAACTTTATCAATAAAGGGTGTTTCGATTGAATTATGGTGCCAATGATTCGCTCCAGTAGTGGTGTAATCAAAAACTGAATGTGAAAAAATTCGTTTCAGAGACCATTTAATGGTGGCTGCATTTTAATGGAGATTGAGAGGTAAAAACAAGCTGGCGCTTAGATTTGGGTGCACGCTGAACTGCCAGCCAGCCGTACTGTCATTTTGGCGTGTATGAACCTAGGATATCATTTTAAAGCCTTTACCACAATGGTAAGTTAACATCAGAAATAACAGCAGGTATAGAAAAATAAGAACAAAGTAGGTTAAGGTAAAAAATAATCTGCGGCAACATGAAAGTAAGCAAAAAGCTAGTGACATCAGACATGAGGTTACGTGATGTGAATCAGCAAGTTTGGTGCACAAAAGAGGTGCACAGTGTACTATTACACATTTAACATGCATGCCCAACACACAAATTGCGATGACTGCCAGTTATCTTTTATGGACCTTGACACGTAGCCTCCAAGGATACGCCTTACAAAAATTACTGTTGGTTATTGTCACTTTTCATTAAGTGTCTTATGTTACAGGATTGCTGAACTCTTAGCCATGGCCTCCAAAGATCTTGCTATAATCAAGATACTTTGCTGGACAAGTTGGTTTATAGTGCTATATCAATTCGCGTGCAGAAAGATGAGACACGAGAGCATCACTTTATTCTGCTCAATCTGTGCTGAACTTTTCTGCACAGGTTTCACTTGATGTGTGTAAAGGCGCACCTGCGTAGCGAGCCTGGTAGTACTATTTCTATTTCCAAAAAGACGGGCGTGTGAATGCTGTCGCAAAAAGGAAGTCGGGACATTGCAAATGCCAACTTCCTTCTTGTGTGCATGTTTGCATGCCGTGTCTTTTGCTGAATGAATACGTATCAGTCAGACCTCGATACAACAAACCTGGATAAGCAGAAATGTCGGTTATAGCAAAGTAAATGAATAGTCTTGCGAAAGGCATAATGTTGAGAATATACCTTTATAACGAAATTTTGAACATAATGAACTTATTTTCATGTTGATGCAACTTTGTTATTATGAGCTTTGAGTGTAGTTCAGCTTTCTGTTATTAGATGTGAAGCAACCCTTTGACTAGCCTGTGTAACGCGGTCCGTCTGTGTCTCCGTGCCAACTCGTCGCGTCGCGCTCCCCTCGCCGCAGGTTTTTGGGTGGTGCCAAGTAGGTCACGCCTTCCCTTGCAGTGCGCAGTGATGACTCCCTCGCCTGCCGGCGATCTCGCCGTGTGTCACCTCTCTCGCTTCTCCCTCTCCACCACTCGCAACGTCCAAGTGCACATCGAGTAATCACTCTTTCAGCTCATTTATCTGCGATGGAGGGGACGCCAGAAAGCGAAGCTCCTTTGCTCGCCTTAACATGCGCCGAAGCGATTTGGCTTAACACGGCCATCGCCGGCGTTGAGCAGAGCCGATCGCGTTCACGAATGGCGATGCTGCGCCTGCAACACCGACGAGGCACGAGCCAAGGAAGTCAAGTGCAAGTGTCAGCGCAAGAACAACAACAACAACACCGGCCAGGTTCGAGTCAAGAATGCCAATCGCGGCCGTGTGCAAAGCTGCTGCTTCGCATCCCATCAGGGTTCCCTTTGGGAAGATGTCGTTCGTTTTTCTGAGCATTTCCATGTTTTTTTCGAATAAAACCAGTTATCAATAAGCACTCGTTCGGTTGTCTTGTCATGTCCCGTCTTCGTGTGCTCAAGTCTACTCCTTCCTTTTCGCAGGTGCTCCCTCAGCAGTGGAAAATGGAGCAGGCGGCCACGGTGGTGCTTACAACGACGCGTCGAGTCACAATCGCGAGTCTGATGCTGACCGCTGGATTCCTGCAGCACCTCTGGCGCACCCTGGTCCGCTGGCGGACATGAGCTCTGGGAGGCTTACCTCCATCACTCGGACACCATCAGTGTGCCGGCCGAAACGAGGGGTTCGCCCCCGCGGATTGCCCGGAGGGCCACCTTTTCTGGCGTGGTGGACCGCATGGAGGTCACCGACCGCACTTCGCCGGAGCGGTGACAGCCGGTGGCGTTGCCTCTTGCAGCCCCTTCGGACGTTTCGAGAGCAACGACACTCCGAGTGATGTAGAACAAAAAAGAGAGAACTGTCTTGACAAATGGTGGCGGTCTTTCTGCCATGGTGGTAGATGACGTTGATAGCGCTACTCTCGCCAACGCTGGCGTTGCGCCGTGCCGCTAGATCTTGCGATCATTGCTGAATCGAGGTTGCAGGTTGGTTGTGATGCGTGGTTGCAAGGGTCTAAAAAATCCTCGCGTTATAGCCGCAGCATCCTCTAGTCGCTTGAAGTCAATGAGATGCTGTGCTCCATTTCATACTGACGCTGTGGTAGATAGTATGTAAGAAGGTCAGCCATCTAAGCCCATCAATTGAGGTTTGACCCAGAAATTCTCTAGGGGTGAACATTTTGAGAGCGGAGTGGTGTTAGACACTAAGTTTATGAATCTCAAGCTTCGAACTTCCCGTTTTTAATTTGCATTTTATTTTCATTCGTACATTTTTTAATATCTACAGCACACATAGAAAACGAAAGTAAGGGCGCTGGGGTTCTAGCGCTGCTACTGCAATTATTTTGACACTGCAGAGCCAACTGTTGAGACTTTTCCTCCGTAACCAAGTGGTGGAATGTACGGCTCAGTGGTATTACACGTGCACTGTTGCTACTTAGCGGTTCATTATACACACATCAAAGGGTTCAAAGCATAGGGGGTCTGTCAAAAATGGTGGACAGTAAAATTAAGCAGTGTAGTTGAGACATGTAAATCTGGCTCAGAAGGTTTGGTTATGCCAACATGCCTGTTTTAGTTTGGCTAAAAGGAACCGTTTATGTGGATGTTTCTTGACTGTCACAATGGATTTGTTAGATTACACGGCTATGCATTACAAAGTAGTTGCACGTGATGGGCATTTCGTAAGCAGGCTTATTCCTTATTTTTAGGGCGGTTCTCCAATGTCACCTAACTTACGTCAACTTGAAGCCATGTCTTGAGCACACCAGCATTATTCACCGCACCGTGCGCCACAAGTCACTACCACAAGCATCACAATGTTTTCGAGTCTCCACGCCAGGTGCATGTGCCCTGTAACACCTCACGACTTTGCGTTAATACCTGCATGGATGCCAAATTTTGCAAAGCACTTTGAGTATAATACAAGAGCTGCTTGTACTGTATGCCACTGTCACGGACACCATCCTCCACGAAGCGAATTTGATCGCTCGCTGATGTGTTGCTACCATAATTAGAAGTAGTTATGCTGTAGTAAAGCAGACTGCCAGAAAAAAAAAAAGGCGTCACCGTCATTAGATGCGATGAGTGATTCGCAACTGCTTGGCAGTTTTTATACCTTTCATTATTGTATGCTCCGATGTGATATTTTAGTATGTTTCCTTTTAATACGAAGCGCACCACTCTTGCTTCAAAATGTGGGCAATGTTGCTGTATTTTAGTGACAATGCACTGCAAGTAGGGAAAAAGAGTACAAGCAAGACCGCGCAGCAGCGTACGGGAAATATGAAAATGGAGTACAAGTCTCACGAGAATGTAAGGCCATTGTCTGACAGCCTGTCCTCATTCAGAGCGCCAGTGTGTGACAAGAAGTTTTTTGAGCCAGTGGTGATGTTTCCGTCTAATTGCAGCTTTCGATGCCTAGATGTGCTGCACAAAGCAACACAAGTTGTGACTTCTCTGACCCCGAAATTTCAGTGCAGGCACAACATTTAGTGCGGCTGTTTTTGTGCAGCTGATGGTCGCATCAGGCATCATTCTTTAAAGAATGAAGTCTATGTCCAAGTCGCACTGGTGCTGGAGTTAGTTTTTGTAGTGCGCGGAGAGGAACTTGAAGTTGGGCTTGTGGTTTAAAGGGCAGTGCTGTGACAAGCAGGTTATGGTTGCAGTCTAGCATGAGTGGTTTCCGCAACACTTTTCTTGGCATTGACTATGTGCAGTGTGTTGAATTCATGGCAGCGATGAGCTGGCGCTTGTGTTTAGAGCTGTGTTGTATATCTGTCGAAGGCATTTAACTAATGCATATTGCAATGGAAAGCGGGTGCTTGGAAGAAGCACACATGCTCACCTATAGTTGATACATTTTTTTGTTGGCACAGGGAATGTGGTAATCATTTGAATAGTTCCATAATTTGGTCTGTGAGCATGCAAATGTGGCTCCCGTCTTTGTTGACACCTCATAGCACTGCCTTCCTTTTCACTGTGGTATGGTGCTGCGAGTTGCAACTTGTTTAATGTGATTGTGTCTGTTTGTCGAGTTTGTGTGTCTTCTTTTAATGCAAATGTTTTAAATGTGTTTGCATCTTAAAGCCACATTGTTCTGTATTTGTCTCCATGTGTCCATACTTGATCTTATATTTGCTTTCTTTCTGCCTCTATATTTGCTTTCTTTCTGCGCAAAATCTTGCCTCTAGCAAGATTTTGCGCATTTTTACCATAGTGGTTGTGTGCAAAATTTATGTGAATAGGCAGCGACGTTGAACTATGGACTTGAATGCTGTTTCTATGTAAACGGAGAAATGGTATCGTAATGAAGTGGTACTGAATAAATGCATAAAAAAAAGTTGCCTTCTCTGTTTGTTTGATTCCCCTGTGAGGTCAGGTAACAATGCATTACAAACTATGTAAACACTTTGAGTGTGCCTAGTGCCAGTTCAGGCCGATTATCGAGAATGTATAGCTTGCATGTCAGTTCGCAAGCGTAGATAAGCTGGCGAATTCCAGCGATAACAAAACTGCTTATCGCATGCATTGCAGAACGCTCTGTATGAATGTCGATCTTGTCATTTTCCATCCTTGCCACTGCTTATCTACGTATGGTACATAGCACCCGCCAGCTACGGCTTCGTTCTCCCGCGTAGTAACAGGAACGGATCTGTGAGGGCATGCTTTCGCGTGGGTAAACTCTCAAAATAAGATTAGAATAATTTTCACGGTCACCGTGAATGGAACGGGGAGGCCCTGAAAATAACGGAGTCGACGAAAAGAAGGAGGGGGGGGGGGGGAGGGAGATGAGTGTGTTTTGTATTTTCCTTTCGCATCAGCAGCGCGCAGTGTGCTCTTTTCTTTCGCTCGTTGAACGGTTGCACCAGGCTGAACTTCTCGGGCCCCCATTTAAAGGCCCGACGGATGATTCACGCAGTCGCTTCTTTGTGCGCGACAGTCATCGGCGAGCGACGCTGAAGCCGCCGATTTCGACGAACCCCAAGAGTCGACGACGCGGACTCGGGAGGGAGGCAGAACTCTCTTGATGGATGTTGTGGAGCCCTCTCTGAGCTCCTCTTCACCACTGCGGCGGCTTCACGGTTCCCGTCGCCGTTGCGGCAGTCAGCGGCCGCGCTTTTGACCTGTCGCCGAAGCCCGCCGTATCGAGGAGATCGCAATGGTGAGCTACTACTACTACTACTACATATGCTAATTTGTCTCTCTCGTTATGCGCGCCAGCCCCATGCAGCGCTCGCGCACAACATGCTGCCGAAGTTTCGTTCGTTATGAAGCGCAGAACGCACGCAAGGAGCACGAGGGCTAGCGCTGTTTCTTTCGCTTCGTGTTTTTTTTTTTTTTAATCGGTGAATTTGCACGACCTGTGGCGGGCACCTGCGGTTTGAGTCTACGTTCATCTCCTGGCGGGGATGATTCACTGCCTTGGGCTACACTTCATGGGCGTCACCTTTGCGTCACCGAACATTTGATAGCACCTGTGTAGTGCGCGGTACGACAACTAGCAAAGGCGCGCAGGCCGCGCTTTTTAACGAATGTTTCCGTCGTCACGGTGTCATTACACATGCTGTTAGCAAAACAACTGGACTCGGTGTTGCTCAGTTGCTCACGAGCGTTTGTTTCGCGCTTTTCCTATTCGTTACATTGCGTGAAACACGGAAAAAAAAAAAGCTTGCTAAACTCAACACACACGACAATGACGCAAGGGCGCTTAGGTTTCTGTTCTGTTCGGGGAAAAGCGCGCCGCACCGAAACTGGACGTGGCTTTATGGTGCTTGTAATTGTCGGCTGTGTTAATTCGTTAGCGCTGGCTTTTCATTTTTCACACGCGTGTCGCGGAAGTGCAAGGAGAGAAATCGACAATCGAGCGATCGCTCAAAAACTACATTTTTTTGTTTCTTTTTTGCGAGATTGGTACCCGTCTTGATACGTGATCGCCAATGGGAGTCCTGCATGGATGCGCGCGAATTTCTGGAAATGCGCATATTCGGGTTACGTACCGTAAGTAAACTACTTGAAAATCTGGCGCCCTGTCTCCTTTCGTTTCCTCCTTGCTCCGATTTGTGCCACACGTCTTTCGTTAAGGTATGCACCTATACTCGCCTAACGTTTCACTCGGCTGAAGGGTATGACAGCCGCTAATACATTTGTAGTGAAACTTTCTGACTGTGAAACTAAAACATTTGATTACATTTCTTTTTTGTAAATGTGGAGCGATTCTCACGTGTACGCCACCACTTAACATGGAGTTAGACATGTACTTGGTTTTGCTGCGGACATACTCCAACTGATGCATCGTCTAACTCGTACAGTGATATCGACCTGGTAGGTGGCAGCGTAGCTTATCAATGAAAAGGCAGCTGCGGTTTGAAAGAACTGGCTGATGTAGACATTTTGAGAGATATTCGGTGTTTTCTTTTGTCTATAGTTCTCCTGTCAGATAAGCACACTACTCTATCAAACTTCTGTCTGTCTCATTTCTTCCAAGCTGCAATGTTCCTATCTGAAGAAATTATCATTTGCCTTTTTTTTTTTTCATATGTCTGTGCATTTTATTTGTACATTTATTCCTACGAATGTGCAGTTTTGCAAGTTCCAGGACGAGAACGCTAAGACGGCATCTTGTCAGCCCCATTAGTGGAACGCACCTGCAGTCTGTGTTTCATGTACCTTCTTTGCTCTGTTTATGTGTGGTTGAGCTGCTGTGCCAATATGAAGTACGACCAACTGGCCCAAGTCTCAGGCTTCCTATTGTCATTTTATTCATATGTTTAGACGTCCACTAATGGATTCAGACTTCTGAAGCCATTTAAAAATCAGAGGTGTGTTCAAACTGAGTTCGTAGTTACGAACAGTGCACGGAAAGGTGAGGCCGTAGAAATAGTTGGGTGGGGCACACCTGCCGTGTCTGACAACCGCTGTCAACTATAGTCTAAATCTTTCTGAATGAAATGCGGTTCTTAGAACAGGGTGTGTTATTTTAGCTTGTGTAAAGTAGCTGTGCTTTTCCATCTGATAATTTAACATGAAGCTCTTCCTATGAGTACAACTGAACCCTGTGATAGCAAAGTAGCATCAGGACAATAAATTAGTGTTATAATCAATATTCAATGTAATAGTAGACATAAATGTAGGATCCAAGAAATTGGCAGTCTCGTTCGTGCAAATATCCTAAGTACAAAAACGCAGTGTCACCAACCTTCTCCTTGGCACGAGTTTCTGAAGCTTTCTCGTTCTATTCACATGGTAGCTTATTTTGCAATTCTTTCGGACCATTAAACAGATGTGGTTGGCAATTTTCATTCAGTATTTATTTTGCTTTTTTATGCTACCTTCAGAGTATTAACCCTTGTGTGAAGAAACATTTCTTCGTTACACCAGGTATCATGTTGACCTTTGCAGTTTCATTATTTAAAAAAAGGAACTTAGATGAAGCTTGACCGACCAAAGCTGGCGTTTAGTTTGCTGTAACTTATAGTACGCTATACTATTGTTCGTTACAGCAAGGTTCAAATTTACTCGCTCTAAGCGCTCTCCATTCCTCAGCTCTCTTCAATGCTGGACACGCCAGCTGTATTTTCAATAGAGGTGAAAATGCTTGAGGCTTGCGTACTTAGATTTAGGTGCACGTAAAAAAAAAAAACAGATGGTCGAAGTTTGCAGAGCTCTCCACTACGGTGTCTCCCATATTCATTTAGTGGTTTTGGGGCGTTAAAGGGTCAGTAAACAACTTCGAGGTCCAAAGATTCTTATGTAGATAAATACATGCACTTTTGCTGTGTGAACATGCTGCTGCAAAAATATTGCCAATGCATGCTATAATAACGGAGTTACAGGGGTTAGAACATTTGTTTCACGGGCTTCAAATTTTTGCACAGCCTCGCCACTCTCTCTGTCATAGGGAAGGGGAAGGCGTAGCGTGTCGTTGTGACTCCGCCCACTTTGGCAACGTGGCACGACGTCGGCAACACGTCATCGGCGTGCAACCAATGACCGAGCAGGGCATACCCGGCACGAGCACGTGTCGTAACGATACGGCAGAAAACCCAGTTCGTGGAGCACCCCTCCCCTAGCGGTAAAGTAGCGAGATGCCTCTTCATCTCGGAGGCCTTCGTTCCGGCATTATTGCTTCTTCCCGCAGTCACGGGCTCTACGAAACGGCAGAGGGCAGAACAGGAAAATGAAAACGTGGACTGCATGGCCGAAACTGCATCACCGCAGAGCCAAGACTCTGTGTCATAGGGCAAAGAACCAATCGACGTGCTCAGTGGTATGTGAAGTTGCCCGTGGGCAAGCTTTCGTCACTGTGCGTGTACGAGGAGGATTGGTCAGGCGAAGGAAACAGGCGCAGGGTTGTTTTTCCTAATGGAGAGTCGGCACGCAGCGCTGTAGTATTCGGAAAATACGATCGTCACGGTCTACTGTACACGTTGTTGAGCTTGTTTGTGGGGTGGAACGAAAAAGTCCGAGCCTGTTTAGTTGCCCTTTAAACCCCATCACTTATTCCGATTATCAAAGAAGTTTTTTTCTGGCTAGCACGCTTATGCGAGATGGCCCCGTTCCCTCAAAGTTTGGCCACCGGAAACGTTCTTCGGTTGCTCGTGCTTTGTAGAAATAGCAAGATCAACAGGGAAAGGAAGCAAAGCAAGAACAACATTTTACAGCATGCAAACGAGACAAAAATGCCCAGAAACACAAAAGTATCTGAGGGCTTCAACCCCCTCCCTCTTCTGAAAATGTTTATCTTGTGGTAATACATAATATATAAACATGCATACATAAAGACGTGCACATTTACATGTAGTATTGCCTAATTGTTTTCAGGCAATTAGTGATTCCACTGACTAATCTCTGGAATCTTCAAGTTCAGTAACACCGAAAGTTGGGCGAGTTGGTGATTGTTCATGATTACAAAAAAGCAGCGCACGACGTTTTACACAAAGAGAGACGATAGGGACACCGCTGCACTCTCAACTAGTTTATTTCGTAAACGACCTTGGTTATTATACAACAAGACGGTGTACCACGTGCTACAATGACAACGTATTTTCTAAAAAGCCAACTTCGCAATCGCTCAAAGTAATCGATGCTTGGCTTATACAGTAATTTACAGCTGGTTATATAGCCCACTGTATATTTACAGCTGGTTATATAGCCCACTGGTTATATAGCCAGCTGTATATTATACAGTATACAGCTGGTTATATAGCCCACGATCTGAGAAGCCCCTGCTTAGCTATTCTTCCGGGCATTCAAAGACAGTTAAGAATGGCATAGCATTCTCTTGTCTCCGCGCTGCCTTGGCCAAATCTTGTCCCCACAAAGTTAATGATAGCTTCATCAGACAAGTAGATAGATTGGCTAGTGCGGGTTACGAAGAGCATGTTCTGCGCAGGACCGCACAGAAGTTGGTTCATCTTGTGCGCAAGAATATATCTTCGGAGCAGCCTCAAATTGAGAGGAATTATGAAGAAAGGAAAAAGAAATGTGTCTCCATACCCTATGCGCACAGTATATCACATAATCTAAAGAATGTAGGCAGCCGGTATGGCTTACAAGTTGTTTTTTCTGCACCTAACAAACTAGGAAAGATATGCGCTAGGCTAGATAGGAAGCGATTGACAAAAAAGGATAGGTGTCGGTGCCCTGTTAAGCACAGTGTTTTGTTTGTGGAGTGCAGAACCGCGGTGGTTTACTGTTTGCTCATGTCGTGTGGGAAAATGTACATCGGTCAAACAGGCCGGTGCATAAATACAAGGTTAACGGAGCACAAGAGAGCATTAGCTAATAATGCTTACTCGCACTTAAGACGGCATTGCTTAGAATGTGGCTGTTCCCCGCTGTTCTCTGAGACTAAAATTCTTTCCAGCCACAGAGATAAGATGACAAGGGAAGTGATCGAGGCCTTCCACATCGCAAAAAGAAAAGATTACTGTATAAGCCAAGCATCGATTACTTTGAGCGATTGCGAAGTTGGCTTTTTAGAAAATACGTTGTCATTGTAGCACGTGGTACACCGTCTTGTTGTATAATAACCAAGGTCGTTTACGAAATAAACTAGTTGAGAGTGCAGCGGTGTCCCTATCGTCTCTCTTTGTGTAAAACGTCGTGCGCTGCTTTTTTGTAATCAGGAATCTTCAAGCTTTAGGTATCCTCCAAAGAGCTGACTACGGGCCTCTGGAGGACTGATTTTCCAGCAATTAGATGTATAGATGTAGTATATCCCTTTGCACCAGACTTGTGTAATTTGATGCCAAGATTTTGGAGACTCAATTTAAAAGAAGTGGAAGGGTTCAAATAATTGATACTGTGTTTTACAGCAAGCAACTGTAATTTCAGCGTAATTATCTAGCGATTGTGGTGTCAGTATTGCCACATTTCTTCATAAACTGAATTCAACGACCCACTCAAATTAGATGTGATAGTTATCTGCTGGCAGCCAGCATTCCTTAAAAGCTAAAAGAAGTGTCGAAATGTCCAACAGCTCGTTAAACATGGCACTACCTTCCCTAAAGTGGGCCTGTGTAGCAGAACATGTCAACCACAAGTGATGTGATATCAAGGAACTTTATGCAACAAGTATGTTTAATTTACCATTAGCTGAGTGTTTAAGTCACTTCCTTGTGCACAGGAATGGCAAGACCAAGTTGAGTCTTCCAATGAGGATGGCTTGCTCAAAAAGACATGTTTTGCAACCTGTACTTGTCATTTTGTTGCGGTGCAGCCGCTGAGCGCAGACTCTGGTGGGGTGAGGAAGCTGCTCCGGTCGGTGCTGGCCCGGTGCTGCTCCCTGACGCACCTGGTGGCCATCTTCGACGTGCTGGTCCTTCTGGTGGCGGTCATCTTCCAGGGCTCGACGCTCGATTTCTATCTGATCCAGCACAACCAGGGCTCGGTCGCCTGGTACTTCTGGTTCCTCGCAGACTTTCTCGTCCTCATTGGCATCATGTCGGCCGTCTTCCTGGCGCGCCGCCACTTCCGCCGGTTGGCGCTCTCTCCCGTAAGTGTTGAACTCCGCTGTAGCACGAGCATCGGCAAGGGTGGTGCAAAGAGGGACACTTGCCCCCACAAGCCATGCCAGCACTCCCCCTCTGTGATGTAACGAGGGTTCACACTCCCTAAAGCGAAATCCAGCCCACACTCATGTTCTGTAGTAATACATGCATGCAAAGATTATGTGAAAGTTTTAATGAAAGAATCGTTCTTTTTTAAATTAATTTTTAGGTCTTTGCACAGAGTTCTGATACTTCTATGGATTGCAAAACAAGTGAGTCTCTTGAACATGAAGGAGATTAATTTATAAAAACATAATATTGTTATGATGGAATGGGTTTATTTAACGGGGGGCTGATGAAAAAAGGGTTAAGGAGCAGTGCTACACTGGCACTACAGTCAAGAGTGACACCACCCGTCTATGGGAAGTCGAGGCCAAGAATTTGTTTCATAATCCACATATATTAAACAATTTTTTTAAGTAGCATCTCTTTCTAAATAAATTTTTGTTGTTACCAGGACTCATCAGCAACCTTGTACTTAACAACAATAACAACGAGAATACCTTTTATACAGACATTTAGAATGAGTGTGACTGTGCGCAGGACCAACCAGACGATGCCACGCCCGAGCCAGAACCGCCGCACCCGCTCCTGGGCCGCTTCCCACTGTGCTACCTGTCGTGGCTGCTGTACGCTCTGCTGCTGGTGGCCAAAGTGGTCCTGCTGTTTCGCATGGACGTGGCACAGAAACTGCAAGGTTGGTGTCTGCTGCGCTCTCTTATGCTGCGTTCTCGCTTGGACATTCACTGGCAACCGTGGGACAGAATCTGCTTTGGTGGTACTGGGATCCGCCAGAACAGCCCTTTCCGCACCGATTGGTCCCAGAACGATTATTTTGCGACACCCACCGCTGGTTTCTCTCACCGCAAATCAATAGAAGCGGGTCCCAAAAATTCGAAAAACAGCGGCAAGCTTGTATCGCGTTCATTGAAGCCCTTTGTAAGTACTGTTTTCTTTTCGATAAGCGCCAAGTCGCTGTTCTCACGAGTAGCTATAGATCTTGACCTACCCGTTCAAGTACCCTATGTTGTGACCTCACAGAAAGGGTAGTGTTATCTAGGTATGACCAAGCTTCTTTAGTGATTTTAGATATCGGTGAAACTTTGTGCTAAAGATGGACTTCATTATTTTTGACATTGTGGCAATTTTTCGACAGTTGCTGCTGCAGGAGCTTTACGGTACGCGATAGGAAAGTTTGTTTTGGGGAGGGGGGGGGGGGGGGGCTTCTTCCATGCGAGCGCATTGAAAATGTGGCTGTAAAGATAAGCCAACCAGAATTGTGTCATCTTCATATACGTCAGCACAGCTGCATTGCCCTCAGACGGAAGATTCCTGTTGCGCATTGATCCAAACTGACTGCGAGAGCATGCACTGGATTCTCAACTAAGGATCGAGACACTGAAGGATTTAGAGCTGGATTATAATATCAACCATATAAACAATCGTTAACAATCAAACAAACCAACAAATCTTCAAATGTGGCCTGGCCTCCATTATTAGCTTGAGCTGCATGCCATTGGTGGAGGTAATTACAGAGGCCACGCTTCAACAGCACTGCCGTTACAGATGATACGGCATCACAAAAACGTCATCGCATTCGCTTGAGGGTCTCCAGATGTTCGGCTGTCACTGCCACTGTTTTTTGTCAAGAAATGCTATTTGCATTCGCTCTTGAGAACTCGAACATCAATGGTTGAATTTAGCTCTCAACAAACTGATTGGACACTCTAAAGTAATTATCTTTAGAAAGCGCTGCAGCTTAAGAAGGCAGGAGAGGCCCTGCCCTGATGACTCAATTGTACGTGGCAGCCGATTGCCTTCGTAGCCATGAAAATAGTCCTGCTTGTGTAATTGGCGATGGTCTCTGACGGCGTTTTCACTGACCATACAGCTTATGGCATTTGTGACATTGGCGTCCATTGATGCAGGCTCGTTTTTATTCTCCTTTGAGGAGGAAATGACCCTGCCTTCTAAAGTTGCACCCGACTTTAACTACTTACCTTCTAAGGGCAACTCGTTACCTGCTTGTTCACGTAACTGGCAACTTTGGCACCGCCAATTTTTACACAGTAACCGTGATGTTTTTCCGTTATGACTGCCAGAGACATACAGCAATTTTAATGATATTCCTGAAGTTTTTAGCCTCATTCATCGCCTGGCTTGCTACTCCAGATGTCGAGTGATGACTACAATATGTACTATGATCACGGATACTCTGCTTCAGTGGCTCAAGTTGCATCTTGACCCTGTTCTTGGTGTTGTGTGCACACGCATGTCTCAATTCTTGTTGGTGATGATTGTAGAGGGCGCGTGATATTAATCACTCCAGTGTTGTTGGGTCTGGGGCGCGCTCGATGGTATTGGGTACATAAAGAATGTTGTACTAATAAACCGGGTCATTTGTGTTGGGAACGCGGAGCGTGGGTCTCGTTGCTGCGGTCCTAGAGCTTCGGCCTGCGTCCCTGGTTGCCTCTGCTTGAACGCGCCCACTGTGGTGTGAGAAGTGGGATCTCTGGTTCCTGCCTTCCGTCATGGCTAACAACGACGACATGGGTAACAACCATGCTCGCGTTCCCACTGGTAGGCTCACCACTCTTCCTGGTTTTACCCCGGCGGTCACCGGTCTTCCTGTTCCTGCCTTCACTCCTGCCAGTCTCCGGAGCCCACCTCCGTTTTTTTTCGACGATGCTGGCGAGTGGCTTCCCTGGCTACGACAGTTCGAGGACTACGCCTTCGCTACTGGCATGCACGCAACGCCGGACAAGCTGCGGGTTAGCACGCTCCTTTACTGCATGGGTCTCCAGGCATACGTCGTCCTCAGTTCCCTCATGTCCGACAAAGATGCTTACAAGTCTTGCGCAGAAGTCACCCGGTGGCTCACAAGCTACTTCATGCCCCCAGTAAACGAGTCGCTTCCACAAGGGGACGCAACGGCCCGGCGAGACAGTCGACAGTTTCTTCACGGCCCTGCGAAACATGGTATGCAAGTGTAATTCTCCGTCGCCAGCTGTCGAAGAGCGTCTTGTTCATGACCGTTTCATCGTGGGTTTGCTGGACTCTCTTGGACAAACTGAACCTCGAGCCTCTCCTTGAATGATGCACTCGTGCAAGCCCGTCAACACGAAGACGCGGAGTGCGAAAAGCAACGCCTGACCTTCGCTGCTGAGCAAACGCCGGCGGCGTCTCACGTCGACACGGCTGCTTCCCGTAAACGATCGCAGTGTCGTAGTGGATGACATGACAAACGAGACTCTGGCAAGAAGAGCCACGGCGGCGAGGCCTCGGAAGCTTCGAAAAGCAGTCGCATCGGGCAGTGCCAATTTTGCGGTCACGAGTTTCATTGACGGTCGGACTGCCCAGCTGCCAAAGCGATTTGTAGTCCCTACAAAAAATGAGGCCATGTAGCATTGGTATGTCGCTCGAAGCAGCGTCTAGGATCTGTGGAGCTACATGCCGTCGCGGCGGTGGCTCAGAACGGACGCTAAGTTGAAGTGCACGTCGACGGACACCCTCTTATCTTCAAAGTGGACTCCGGCGCCGACGTCTCGGTGGTTCCACGTACATTTCTTGTCTGTTCAGCCGAACTCGACAAGCCGCGTGACGAAGAACTTTTTGGGCCCAGCAAACAAGCTCTTAAGCTTCTTGGTACCTTTGCGCAGCTCTGTTTTGGCGGGGCAGGCAAATTAACAAACGACTATACGTCATCGAAGGTCTAGAGAAACGTCTTCTCGGCTATCTCGCCATCGTTGCCCTTGGCGTTGTCAAGTTTGTCGACACTGTCACGCCAGCTCAGCTGGAAACGCCGGCTCGAGACAAGCCTCCAGCCCTTTTCACCGGCCTTGGCACGTTCCCGGGAAAATACATGATCCGTATCAAGCCTGATGCGGTGCCGTACTCTCTCAGCACAGCCCGGCGCATTCCAATATCACTACGAAACGTAGTCGAAAAGGAGCTCAACAAAATGGAGCAGGGGGGTGTGATCCGGTGCATCGATGAACCGACGGATTGGTGTGCGGGTCTTGTCGTCCCGAAGCCAGCGAGAGGTTACTGGCTTTGTGTGGATTTAACCAAACTCAATCAAGTTGTCCTATGCGAACGCCACGTGCTTCCCACCGTTGACCAAACCCTCGGAATGCTCAGCGACGCCCGCATTTTTTTCGAAGTTGGACACAATTTCTGGTTGTCACCAAATACGCCTGGCGCGCGACTGCCAGAAGTATACGACATTTATCACACCATTTGGAACATACTGCTATTGCCGCCTCCCGTTCGGCATAACGTCAGCCACAGAGTACTTTCAACGTCAGATGTCTCGCCTGCTGGAAGGCATAACTGGTGTCGTTAATCTCATGGACGACATCCTCGTGTTCGGCTGCACCACAGAAGAGCAGAAGAGCATGACCAATGTCTCCAAGCAGTTCTCGATCGCCTCCAACAAGTGGGGTTCACCCTAAATGCTGCCAAGTGCAGTTTCGGCGTGATCAGCGTACGCTTCCCTTATGTCCTCGTAGGTGCAAACGGCATCTCTGCAGATCCAGAAAAAGTGGCGGCCATTCAGCGTATGCCAGCCCCTCAGTACATTCATGGCGTGCGGCGGTTCTTGGGTATGCTCAACCATGTGGGTAGCTTCCTCACAGGTCTCTCTCGGACAACTGCGCCAATCCGAAGTCTCCTGAACAAGACTGCTAGCTACATGGACGTGGGGACCAGCGCAAGTCTCGGCTTTTGAGAAGCTCAAGTCCATGCTGTCTTAAGACATTTGCCTCGCAAGGGCACTCCTGACAACGGTCTCCGCAGATGCCAGTTCCTTCAAGCTGGGTGCAGAGCTTCTTCAGGACCAGATTTCAGGTAATTGCCTACCAGTCGCATACGCCTCTCGTGCTCCAATTGAGACTGAACGAAGGTTAACAGGTTCGGCGAATTTTTTCGGGGTCTTCGCTTCACCCTCGAGACCGATCATAAGCCTTTGGTCAAGGTCCTTGGAACAGCGGACCTCGACCTCCTGCCACCCAGGATACAGCGTTTTCGTATCCGCCTCCTTCAGTACCAGTTCGACATCAAGTATGTGCCTGGGAAACAGTCGGCTACAGCTGATGCGCTTTCACGGGACACGGTCACCCAACTCCCAGAAACTCCAATCATTGACAAGGTCGAGCTGTATGTCCAAGAAGCGCTCCGTGCCATCCCTCACACTTTTGCGATCCTACTCGACGACTATCGAGCTCACCAGGCTACAGATTGGGCGTGCGCTTAGCTCAAGACTTACTGCCAGCAAGGATGGCCGCGGAAGCAGAATCTGCCCCTCAACATGGGCCAGTTTTGGGCTCGTCGTGCTGAGATAACTATCCACGACGGCCTTCTTCTCTGCTGTGGAAGCCTACTCGTGTCCACTTCTCTGCGCAAGTACGCTCTGTCCCTGATTCACGATGGGCACCTCCGAGTGGACTGCGGCCGCACCATCGCTAAGGGAGCTGTTTGGTGGCCAACCATGGCGAACCAGATCAAGACCATGGTCGAAAACTGCCCTGATTGCGACACCACGCGGGTCCTGCGAGCTGAGCCACTGCATCCTACCGTAACGCCTAGTAGCCCTTGGGAGCGGGTCGGGGCGGACATCTTTCATCACGACGGAGAAGATTACCTTTTCCTCGTCAACTACTACTCAAGGTACCTCAAAGTGCTGACCCTTGGCTCGACAACGTCCGCTGCGGTGATCTCCATCATTAAAAGTGTCTTTGCAAGACATGGTATCCCTGAGACACTTGTCAGCGACAATGGACCTCAATTTTCTTCGGTACAGTTCCGCGCCTTCTCCCAGAGTTACGGCTTCTCCTATGTCAACAGCAGTCCCAGGTACCCCCAGTTCAACGGTGAAGTCGAGCGCATGGTGCGTACGGTCAAGGAACTCTTCAAGAAGTCTCCGGACTGGCCCTTGGCTCTCCTGTCATGCCGCAACGCACCTGGCATCACCGACTACAGCCCTGCCCAGCTGCTTATGGGACGCAGCCTCTGGACTCGCGTTCCTGTGCCACAGGCCACACTTTTTCCCAAACATCCTTGAGGTGCCGACTTCAACAGGCTCGACACGGCCCAACGTCACCGCCAGTGTCAAGATTTCAACCGTTAGCACGCTGCAAAGGATTTACGTCCCCTGGTGGAGGGGGAGAGAGTGTGGATTCGGGACACAGAGTGCGCGGGCACAGTGCTCAGCCCAGCGCAGCACCCACACTCCTATGTGGTACAGATGGATGTAGATGCTCTTGTTCGCAACCGGAGACATCTGGTACCTCAGCAGTCTCAGGCATCGGACGATGGTGAACTACTGGTTCCTCAGCAGAGTCAGCCATCGGATGGTGGTGACTTCAGCAGCATCAGTCCACTACCAGAAGGATCCCCAACCCCGCTGCAGACTCCCACTCGCCCAGTGCCTGAGTGTAGCAGTCCTCCGTTGCCTGCTGATGTCGTTACCCCGCCACCAGCTGCCTCGCCACAGGTTGTCCCGGCTACCCCTTCAAGACCGCCAGTATCGAGTGTGTGCACATCGTCAGGACGTAGCATCAGGACTCCTGTGCGGCTGCACTTGTAGTGTGCTGTAGTGTGCTGTAACACATCATTACGTTTCATACATGGTGATGTTATGGCCCGTATTGTTTTTGTTCATCTCAAAAGGGGGGATGTAGAAGGCGCGTGATATTAATCACTCCAGTGTTGTTGGGTCTGAGGCACCCTCCATCGTATTGGGTACATAAAGGATGGTGTACTAATAAACAAGGTCACTTGTGTTGGGGACGCGGATCTTGCGTCTCGTTACTGCGGCCCTCGAGCTTTGGTCTGCGTACCTGGCCGCCTCTGCTCGAACGCGCCCACTACAATGATGGAAGGTATGACAAAACAGACTAGAGTTGCGTGATGTTGTGAATGAATGCTGTTGCATTTGAAGTCATTCACGTACATGACAAACCCTGTTACTATTGTTGTGCGCAGATGACAACGTGTACGGCTCCCAGTTTCTCAAGGCAGTGGTGGCGGTGGCGGCCGTGGTCTTTCTGCTGCTCGTCGAGAGTCACAACGAGGCGGGCGCCAGCTCGGAGCAGCGCACCTACCTGCACTCGCTGTGCACGGGCACCACCTTCGAGGTGCTGGACAGCGTCACCTTCCTGGGGCTGCTGTTCCCCAACGAGACCCACCTGGCGCTGACGTACCCGCTTGAGAACGCCGTGCTCGCGCTCACATGCGTCAACTTTGTGCTACCCAGTAAGTGCTGCTTGTTTTATCGTCTCTGAAAGGGCCAGTAAACAGGCTCCGACTTTTTTTTACAATTCGTAAATTAGACCGCAGCGATCACGTTTTCTAAATATTATAGCGCTGCTCGCCGCGCAGAGCCTATATTTCGAAAAACAATTCCCGCAAATCTTTCCTACGCCTGACTGACCCCCTTGCACGCGCAGTGACGTCAACTCGGCGACGTGACGTAGCACGCAGCTCGCCGATTGGTCCAAATCAGGTGCGAAAAAACAGTAGTAATGTCAACGTCAGTTCCGGTTCCCACCCACAGCTACGAAACTGCCTCTTGTTTCTTGACACTGCGGTGAAAGAACCAGCCTCGCAGTTGTCGCGTGCACGTGTACATTCCTCGCTCAACTACAGTGCCTGTGCACACATACGAACGTACTTCGCCCTTGACATGAGCAACACGGGTAAAAAGCGTTGCTCTGTCGTCGGCTGCAAATCGAGCGACTGGGCAGCGCAGAAGCATTGGCACCGGGGGCCTCACGATGAGGCCCTGTGCGCTGCATGGCTGAAGCCAATCGGCCATCCAGCGACGTACGTCGGAGACCTTATCGTTTGTGGTCGACACTTTGCGCCTGACGCTTACACGGTTGACCCGCGGCTGGTGTGGCAAACCGTAAACAAACAACCACGCTTCGCAGCAAGCGGAAGTGCATTGCGACTGATTGAGTTCGCCGATGACCTCAGTCGCTGACGTGCTGTCACGTAGCCGAAGTGGGCGGAGTCACGACGATTGGCTATGCCTTCCCCTTCATGGAAGGAAGAAGAGGGGCGAGGCCGCACGAAAATTTGAAACCAGCTTAGACCGATGTTCTAATCCATGTAACTTCCTTAATATAGCACGTGTTCGCAAAATTCTTGCGGCAGCATGTTCGCAAAGAAAAGCTTCACATATATCTCTTTTTAAAAATTTTTAGACCTCAGGGCTGCTTACTGGCCCTTTAGGCTACTTAGAAGTCGATTAGGGCAGTGGTTCTCATATGGGGGTCCACGACACCCTTCATCAAAAAAAAAAATAATAATAATAATAATAAAGTGCTCTTTTGGAGGTCCACTACCTGCCCTGACGGTGGCCTTTTAATAAGCTCTAACACATACTAATCCTGCGTTGCAGTGAAGCTGACTTACGAAGCCCCTTTTTTATGAGATGGCAGGATAGCTTCAGTGCAGTTTTCTACGACATATGCACGCGAACATACTTTTTCTGGGCCTGTATGTTTGAAAAGCAAAGCTAGAAACTGAAGTTCCTTCTTGCGCTTTCCGCCAGCTAGGTTAAGTAACGCCTACTCGTCCTTTCCCTTTACACAAGTCCCCAGCCCAGCGGAAGCCTTAGTGCCGCCATGATGCTTCTGCTGCTTTTCCAGTTCATCCACCCTCCCCATGGAGGAAGGAAACCTCACACCACCCGCCAGACGCACCCAACCCGCCTCATTCATGGCATCCCAGCACTCGGCTGTCGGCCGCATCGGGCAGTCTGGTGCGCAGCAGTGAGGTGGCATTCCTCGCGAGGCAGGAACACGGAGCGTAAGCTCAAGACAACACTTGTGGAACGAAGAAAGAAATACTTACTTTTTCGTGCGTGCACATGCGTGTGCAGGAACACGGTGGAAGGAAGTGGCTCAACAACTTCCTTTCGAAGCTTCGGAACTGGAACTAGGTGACGGTGGCGGAACAAAAGCGGCTCTAGACGTGATGGAGGGGCTTTGCTGGAAACAGGTTGAATTTGTTTGCAGACCACACAACTTATTGACAAGTCGTTGAGATTGAATTTGCGTAGCGCTCGAGTCTGACCGTATCTTGTCTGGAAGAAACAAAAGGCACGAGTTTTGTGCCGCATGTTATAATAGTTTTTCTTCCTTTTCCTCTCACTGCAAGTGGTCCCTCATTACTTGTTGCACACGTCCACAAGGTGTCCCCGTAACATCCATGGCTGAGAACTACTGGATTAGGGGATGCAAATTCAATTCTTGCCATCTCAATCGTCGTTTTCTTGCCAAAAAAATTTGACCACCGAGTACCGCATAGCGCAATTTCTACCTTGCTACGTGTGTTATTATAGCGATGCTGATGTGTAACAACAAAAACAGTCTAGTCTGCAGTACTCTTTTAAAAACACTGTATTTTGTCTAACCTAATTGAATCGACAGACAGTGATGAAAGCAAGGAAAGTGTAGATGATTACTTGCATGGTCTAACTGTAATGTAGTAATTATGATATTAATCTAATGAAACTAACTAAAGTGGATGAAAAGACAACTTCCCACTGATACACTGGCAAGTACTGAATTGAAAATCTCCGGACAACATGCATGAATCTCTACCATTTGCAGTGGAGCCAGTGTCACTCGTAGCCATGATGGCGTCTGTGGAACACTGCTTTTTGGCTAGCTGGCTAAAGCTCACGTGTTTTCGTGCACAGAGGAGGAGGAGGAGGAATAAATGAGGAAGGACAGGGAGGTTAGCCAGTTCTCAGACCGGCTGGCTACCCTGTACTGGGGAAGGGGGTAAGGGGGATAAAGGATGAGACAAATGAGACGTTGTAAAAAAAAGGGAGAGAGAAGGTCATCAGACGATCCACGACGCTGTTTACAGTCTGTCTCTAAGACCACCTGCCCGCAGAAAGCGCAACAACGCTTTCAATGCCTTGCGTGCAGAGGACGGTCTCAGCCAGTGTCCTAATACCCTTTCTTCCGACAATTGGCGATTGTCTATTCTATCTAAAGCTTTTGACAGTTCTTTTCTTGGCACGCTGAAATAGACGATAAAGTAAATGGGGTGAACAACTACTGCAGTCACTCTGTTGTTGGAGCATCGGAGGATGCGTTATCCAAATGTTGTAGGTTCAGCCGAAGCCGGCAGCAAGTTGTCTTTTCGTCCACGTTAGTTCCTTTACATTTATACCTTATTATCACAGGGGCGTGGCCACAGCCTGTGCAATGCAGAAGTAACTTTCCACCATTATCCTACTGTTGTAACATTGAATCCATAACTTTTTTCATGTTGAAAGATCAATCTCTACACATGCGTTTTTTTTTTGTTCACCATTTGGTATTCAACTTTCATCTGCGCAGCCCTCGCCCTTTTCAAGTTGAGCCAGTGCGAGTTTGGCCAGCTGCCGCGGCCCCTCGGTCTCAAGCTGCTCTACAAGGTCTTGCACATGTGCCTCATCAACGTGCCCTACCTGGGCATCCGCATTTACCTCTGGAGCTTCTTCGGCCACGACGTCTCGCTCTTCCTTATCAAGAACCTGCTTGGCATCTACTCCGCGCTGCGCACGCTCATCCCCGAGCTGCGCCTCTACATCTTCCTTCTCTCCAACCGGCGTCGAAGCCACACCTGCATCGCCGCCGATCCCATCGAGCTCAAGGTCATCTGCGAAAAGGACGACCGGCACGGGGACAACGATGGGGTGCCCGGCCGATCGGTCGGGAATGTGCTCTAGCCCAGACGTGAGTGCTGTGACTTCCTCGGACACGAATGACGTCGTGCGCTTTTGACATGCCTAACCGAATCAGACTCGTGTTGGTGTGTTGTCTTGTGCCTCCGTTGAAGACTCTGTAGACGCCACACCTTATTTTCTGAGCGTGCCAGCCTAAAGAGTGTTTTTTATTTGTTTACTCAATATGGGTTTGCGAGTGACACCGTCGGCTCAAACGTACATATTTCGCTGGTTTCTCGAATCACGAATTGCTCGATGTGTAAAAAAGAGGAAAGAAAGAACAGCCTCAAAACGAAAAGGAAGGTGTCCCTACCAGTCATGAGCGCCACACATGCGAGATTTGAGAATCGCGGAGGTGAGTGGACACTGCCGCTTACATCACTGGAAATTTGAAACTGCGTCAACAATGAAACCCTAGCAAGTGGGGCCCAGCTTCAAGACTGCTCCATCGTTCTCAAACCTGGCCCATGTTCAGGTGCTTGGCATTTTGATGCAAGAGCACCTGCCGGCTACTTAATGTACAATCTCGTCTGGGGAAGTCCAGCCCGAATGCTGCGTGACCTCTCCGCTTCTGAAGACTGCAGTTTCGCGTTTCGCTCTCATGCCGAGGAAAGTATGGGTACGTAGTTCTGGTCGCATGCAAAGCGACCCGTAGGTTGCTTCGAGGACTGCTCACCGATCAAAGCTACCGGGCCACAGTGCAGCATTACCTCTCGGCAGCTTGTGCAAGTGCGGTTTGTTCATTTGTTGAGCTTCGGCTTATTGCAGCTTCTCTCCAGATGCTGCAGTACCTTCTCATAACTGCGACATGTATTTTACCTTTTTTCTTCATCGTTGAGAAATGCTTAGTAAGCCTGTTGTGTATGTGATTGCACCTTTTGTACAGAACAACAGCACTCGTGAATCTCCTCACCCTAGTGCATTGAAGCTCAGTGTCAACTGTGGCAGATTATTGGTATTGTATCAACATATTGAGGACATCTAGCTAAGACATGGTTAGTTCAGCACCCTACGGTAAAACTTCAGTGATCGATTGTGGACTGCCGGGGCTATTGCTATCGCACATTGCTGAAGAGCTGGTATCACTAAGAACAACTCTGAAGGCATTTTCCTTTATTTAATGATGCATACTTTGTAATGCTGTCAATCAAATTTTGTGAAGTAATTTCATGCCAGTATGGGGCAGCTTTATTGATGTGTCTTGCTTGAACAGATGCTGAACCTGAAATCTTTATCACCTTCACGGTAGTAGGCATGCAGACTTGGGCAATGACTCTTTTGTTTGTTTCTTTATGCGCTTCGTTTATGCGCATCGTTTATGCGTTTTATGCGCATCGTTTTTTTCTTTATAAGAAAAAAAACGATGCTGCTCGAAGTGCTAAAGAGGTTCCTGAATGATAGAAGTGAGAAGGAAATTGTTAGAGCAGCCATGTAAAGTTATTTAGAGCCATAAACTGGCTGATCGAGCTTATCAGAAGTTGGTATGCACTTCTCCAGTGCGATTATCCAGCAGCTTTTGCCAAAAAATTCCATTTTTTTTTTTTGAACGACATGCTCAACTTACACTGGCTTTGCCTGACGTGAGGTTTCCAAACACCCCCTCGTCCGTTTCTTTAATTCAGGGAATTCCACTCTTACATTCCAGGGATTGCTGCAAAACAGCCGTGCATTTTCAAACTAATTAGTGTTTGACTGGGCAACTATGCCAACTTCAAGCTCAAGCATTTGTGTACAGTGAATGCCAAGCTAGGGCTGCTTTTCTCTTGGACATTGTCACGTAGTCCTGGTTCGATCGACATCTCTGAATCCCAACTCAAGGAGATAAAATAGATGTGACGACATCAAGCCGCTGAACAATCTCGTTAACATATGTGACCGGTGCAAGCCCTGGTATTTGTCGAAGACCCATCACAAAACAGCAGTATTTTTAGCCTTTCAGATGCTAGCTGTTGATGCTATATTGCAGAGGGCAGAAGCATGTTTTTTTTTTTTTCAGCAGTGTTGAAGCATCGCTAACGGCTGTTACTTGACAGCACAAGTTGTTTATTTGTACAGCTATACAGTTGCTGTCTTTGTATATGTGTTTTAAAACAGAGTCGTAGTCATTTGTTTCGTAAGAATGCCACTGTGAAGCTTGTATCTTAGGTCGCTGAAGTTTACGGGACACGTACTGAAGGGCTGAATTGCCGGGATGACTGATCATGTAACTTTGCGAGAGACAGCAGAACATTAACCAATGACACAGATGTGGCATTGCGTCTATTCTTTTCTGTACTGTTCTCATGTGCTTTTAAAAATGGTCTCTATGGAATAACATGTCCAAGCATGCGCTGTTTCTACCCAAAAGCCTCAAGCTCGCTGCTCGTGTCAAAGTCTCCCTGACCCAGACACAACAGTCCCTTGAAACCATGTCCCGTAAACTTTTGCGGCATTCCTGTATGCCTGAGAACTCATTGCCCAAATAGCACTGTTTTCTTTGTGGGAGAACTTTTGTGAGTGCTTTCTACTGAGCGGCTACAAATCTAAGAGTTGTATGTATCACGGTGTATTTGAGGTCCTGTGTATTTGCACAAGTTTCGAATTTCATGTGGTGTGGCATCCTGACGCCTGGATCTACTTCCCTGACGTGTTGCCTCTTGCATAGGCATGATTTATACTGTACAAGTGTTTTGAGACGAGTGTGATAGTGCACATACATTTGGGAGAAATGCAGGGCAGCGGGGGTGAAGCTTTAGTGAGTAGCAATGTCCCATGCTGTGATGTCATGCATTCGCTGCGTGGGATGAGACTTTGTACGCATTCTGTTATGGAATGCTCGGCCTCGCTGAATGCAATTGGTTGAGGCACGCAAAAAATATCACAAATGGGACGTTTGCATGAGCCTCGATTACACATTACTGACATATAAACGTCGCGAATGGGTCACTTGCCGTAAGCGTCGTTTTTGCGACATTTACGCCAAACATTAACGTCATGAATGTGAGGCGACCGGTCAAGGCTGATGCAACTGCCACATAACGTGATGAGTAGATCACTTGGCGTAAGCATCATGCTCGTGGCATTTATGCGAAGCGATTCCGTCACAAATGTGACAATGATTGTGAACCCCAGCCTATTCTGTGCACTCAAGACTGATCATTCTGTTACGAAATGCGCACAAGATTGCCCTGTAGGCATTCATTCACGGCAGATGCATTCCACTTTCACAGCTGCAGCTAATGTCTGGCAATTAACTTAACTAAACTGATAGGCGGCCCTGTCACTGCTGCTTGCAGTAGGATACTCAAGCGTAGACTAGCACTGACGAGCGTTGTTGGCACCGTAAAGCTTACGGGACGCATTAAATGTCGAAGTTGTTTTGTCTGTTGTCCCATCACAGTCACTGCATGTTTTGCACTCACCGAGAGCCAGTAGGACAGCATTGAAGCGATCAAAAACCTTGCCGCACATTCGTCCACGTTTTATGTACCTGCACAGACTGACAGTTGGTGTTGCACAGTTTGTCACAATGTTTATGGACGCTTAAGAGCACCTAAAAGAGCCTCTGAAACAAAGTGTTTTAATACGCAGTCTCGAGATTGTACAGTGTTTTGCGGATTTCTTACAGGCATGCTGGCAGTGTTCTTTTATGGAAGTCGCGACACGAGGACACATAATTTTACTTAACAGGCCAAGTGCATACATCGTCACGAAGTTGGGTCGTGGCCGTAACAGTGGTGAAGTCGCAAGCACGTGACAATATGTGCTTTTCACCTTTGAGGATATGCTCACTGTTGATGAAATTTAAGGGAAACACTGCTTTTTTAAAAAATTTATGTTATGCCACCTGTGAAAGCTGCCAGTCATGTTCCTGCGTAGCTTGCAAGAAAACTGAGCTTTTATTGCTCAAGGTGCAGAAGTATCAAAGGTACAGCATGATCTGTATATACAGTGCTCACGGGATTAAATTCAACTTCAAAACTTCAGTCACACCAAATGGTATGTCTAAATACTCAAGAACTTCCTGTAGTTACAAATTTGCATGTGCTAAAGGTGATATCGGCTTTGTTGCAAGTGCGCGAGCTAACGTTATGCTGGTGTGATACAAACCGGTACTGCGGAAGCAAAAGTTACTTTACGCATTAGCTGTAATTTGTTACGTTTTCTTCTGTGAGCATTGTACTTGTTGAAAGAATTGTACCTGATCGCATACTTGTCTAACAGCGTGAAGTTATATGGACAGGACATAAGGATTACTGATAAAGATTCAGTTACTTTGGCTTTGCAGGTAGCCCCTCATTAGCTCGTGTGGCTCTTTCAATCTTTGGGTTCGAGTCGTGCTCTTCGTAGCGTACATACAGCTTTCATTGCGTCCATTGCTCATTGAAAAGTGTCTCGCTAATCCTTAAAGAGTGCTCAGGAATTCTATGCTTCCTTAGTGTTTTTTTTTTTTTGTTTTTCCTTTTTTTGCGGACTATGACTTCAGCCATACATTCGCGAGAGATTTGAGCAGGAAATTCGAACAATGGAGAGGAAGGATTCAGAACATCTATATGATTTAGTCATTCTTGTTTATCATCCGGGACCTTTGAGGTGTCTGTTACGAAATCGATGTGCAGTGAAGTGAAAGCTACAGGAGACACAAAGGTACTTCATAGCATGCACTAATTATGAAGTTTCATGCTTAATTTATATTGCTGGTAGATATTTCAAGTGCTGCGTGAAGATTTGTAGATTTTTCGGCATCCTAAAGAACTGCCAGTTACACATTCCTTTATGGTTTTTTTTACGTGAGAAGTATTGACAGCAAAGTGGAAAGTGAATTGATATGTGCTAGATCTGCTGCTATCAGCACTCTGTTGGACTTGGTGCACACCATAGCATTCTTTGCATTGCAAAGAGTTTTCAAGTGTAAGTATTTGTCACCCAGACACAAAGTCGCAAACAAATGGCTGTTCTGTCTTAATTACCCATGAAACATTATCAGAAACAGGGAGCAGTTGGAGAAATGCCAAACTCGGATGCCAAAGACAAAAGTAACGTCGGAAATATTGTGTGCGTATGTGAAGCATTTATTGCTCATTTTACGGCATTGTTTCACGTTTAATAAAGGTTGCCCTAAACCACGCTTTCACGTGTGTGCTTTATTCAGCAGTCTTTCTCCCCTGCGCCTTTACCACTGAGTCTTATTTGCGCCGCTTAAGACTCGGAACCCATTCACACATATGATGCTACGTTCGAGAAGTTTTTAACAGCAAAGTGTATAAAACAAAGAAACAACCTCCCACCAAACGACGGTTCGGTCATCAACGATTGGCGACGAACCGGCCATAAGAAGTACCGTTAGAACTGTCGACTTGAAAATAACACTGGGCGCTACCTTGGTGCGTGTGCAACTGCAAGTAAGCGGAGTAATTCACAATCCGACACCACATCATCCTCTCCTTGAAATGAAGAGGATGCTGGGTCCTACGCGTTACCTATGTGGTGGCGTAACGTAACAAGAAGCACCAGAGACAAAATAACATTGACATTTTTCAATCAAGGTAGTTCACGTTTCAAACGCCAGGGGGACAAGAAATGCCCACTTAAATACCCAATCAGAACGCGTCCCGAGCACACCGCTAGCAGACGCGTAGTGCGAATCTCCGATAGTTCGCGCGCGTTTGTGATTGATTTCACGCCTTTTCGAAGAGTGTCGGCACGCCGTTAAGGCGTCGCGACGCTTCGGGAAGCCCGAAAATTTGTTCCTTTTTGGGCGGCGACGTTTCAATTGGCGCGAAACAGTGAGGCGGCCCGTATTGCTGCGAGTTTGGGCTAGGCCTACGCATAGGCCTAGCGCCCAAACGACAGCTCTCCTACAGTCGCCGGGGTCCCGCTAAGTAAAAGAGAGAAAAGAAAAACAGGAAAAGGGTGCAGTGGTGGTGTTTTTTTTTGCGGTGGCGGTGGGCGATGGCCACGCTCAGCCAAGGGAACAACAACTTCACCTTTCACCAGTTCTCGGCGTCAACGAAAGACGTGGTCAACAAGTCCAGCGAGCCGACGGATTGTGCCAAAGATCCATCGACGCCTTCGCAGCAACAACAGCTCGAGTCGGCGGGACAGCAGCAGCAGGATGTGGTGGTCGCTAGCTCGGAGGTGATGGAGCAACCTGCCGCCGCCGGCGGCACCGAGGCTGACGCGAGCCCCGTGATCGACATTGTGATAAACAACGTGGTTTGCAGTTTCAGCGTGCGCTGCCATCTCAACCTGCGTCAGATCGCTCTGACGGCCTCCAACGTTGAGTATCGACGCGAGAACGGCGTAAGTCTGGGGCCGCTGTCCTTAATTGTGTTGTCTTTTTCGTGTCGTTTAAAACGCTTTTGTCTCTGATGGGCATGCAGTTAACTCGTGCGAGTGTTTAGCTACGGTAACGCGGTTCACTTCCTGTGCCTGCACAGCAGCGCAGCCGACGCGGGCCTTTGTCTAGAAAGCGCGCCGCAAAAAAATAAATTAATAAGGCGTAACAGAGAGAGAAAAACCTTGGGAATCGGTTCTGCTGCAGGCCACGGCACGTCTGTCGGCGATGACGATTGGGCATTGTTTAAACGATCAGTGGGATCGCGGATATTTGTTTTATATTTCTCTCGCGCTAGTGCCCGCCTCGCATCGGCCACCCCCCACAGAGCATCCAATCGCGCCTTCCTTTTCAGTGTGCGTTGCTTAATTTATAGCGACCTGAAGCACCTCACGTACATCCCGCGTTATTTATCGTGCTGGCTACCGTAACGCGAACGTTTTCAATTTTTTTCATTCCATCCTGCCCACCCCGCCACCCATGGATCATCCCGGCGTTTCTAAAAATACGGTCTTTCGTCCCAACCTACTTCTTTGGCCGCGGTTTCTTTTATTTACCACGGATGCGGCGTGATGTTGAAGCGATGCAAACGCGGGTTTTAAACGCTGATCCTTTTTTCTATTCGGGCCCGCCGTTCCATTGTGCTCGCCTGCATCGTTTCATCTGTAGTCGCCTTTACACCCACACTAGGTTGTTAGCGAGGTGCATTTTGGTTTGAGAAGCTTTTCAAGAAAAGTATGCGAAGCGTTGCGATCACTGCTACGATCGGTTATACTTTGACCGAAATCAAGGCCACCCACCGAATGGTAACCTAAATAAACAAAAAAAAACAGCCCGTTAATCGTGTAACAAAGGTGCGACCAGTTGTCTTAACGGGCTTCGATAAGCTAATTAGGACAGTAGCAACCATACTTTCAGACTGAAACGCTGCGCGTTACGTAATCGACTGCGATTAGTTCGGGGGTGGGGATCGACCACAGAAAGAATTGGCTGCGTCGCTGACCTTTTTGATGGCGTTAGCCCCCCGCCCTAATCGTCCCGTTATCAAATCTTTACCGATTTAAAACTCGCTACGCTGTGACGTTTATCTGTGATGAACGAGCGGGCATTGCTGTACCGGCGAAGATACATGCCACGAAAAAAAAAAAGCGAGTAAGCTGTGTCGGTTTGTCGCAGTGCCGCACCGATACGTTCGTTTTTTTGGGCGTTTGTTTTAGAAAACCGATTCCGGAAGTCTGGGCTGCGTCCTCCCTCGGAGCCCTTCGCTGCCGCTGCCTCGTTGAAAATTTCTTTGATAGCTCTCAGGTGCGAGATCTCGGGGCATTTTACGTGTTCGAATTGACGCACGAGCGTCGCTTCTTTGTCCGCCTCCGCGTTTTTGTAAAGGTTTTCACATTTTTCTTCGCGGGATACCCACGACGCGTTTTGATTTAGATCGACGAATGTTCTGGAAACTATCTCTCCCTCCCCCGCCTGTAATACATTCCGTATTCTTTGTTCGTGGTCCGTCGTTTTTGCGTCATGAACGAAGGTCTCTGTAGAAAGAAAAAAAAGAAAGGAATGCGAATCCAATCGCGAGAAAGGCGAGACGGTGCCGCCAGGCTTTTGTTTCGATATTACCGGAGAAGCTGCGGAAATTCTCGGGAAGACGAGATCGACATTCCGCAACGAAAACGTATACACCGTTTCCGATGGCGGTAGGTGCGTCATTGCGTGAATCTTTTGATCGTGGAATTGGGATATTGTAAAGGTAGTGTCCATACAGCCGCTGGAGTATGTCAAACCGATCGGGTGAGGGTTTCGAGTGACGTTCTCTGGGGGGAGTGTGCGCCGAGGCTGGTCTGGTGTTGCCCTGTGGGTGTTGCCGAACGGCGAGGAGCTGGCGAGGAATACGACTTGGGCGTGATATATTGTATTTGTCCGCCTCAGAGATGCTCCTCTCACGACGTGAAGCACACTTGAGACAAGTGGCACTGCGAGCTAGCTGCACACTGCCTGGACAACGCCTGTGGGGCGCGTTAGGTTAGGTTAAGTCGGGGAAGCTCAGGTCCTTGACAATGGTGATCAGTGTCGCTAAATGACGACTCAAAGCTAAAAATACAGCCAGCTGGCAAGACAGGCTCACCAGAAATGTGCCGGCAGATAAGTCCACATGGTCACGGGCAGCCAATAAGCTAAAACTGCCGGCAACTTGTTTTTTCCGGGATAATATGATGTTATAATTCAGATAAACATTTCATAGGGGTGAACTGCAAAAAAAAAAACTTGTTTAGGCAACACCAGATGGGCATAGTTATAATGAAATTGCTCACTTCGGCGTGCCTTTTAGTTAGCCACAACGTAATTTTGGTGACTGAAATCGCATAATTTCCACAATTTTTTTTTTTACTTCTGAAAGGGAGTTAAGTGTATCCGTTTTAAGCGCGAACTACCGCTGCTAAGATAAACATTAATTTATTGCTGAACAAATTTGACGCAGATTTTGGTAAAAAAAAAATGTCAATTATTATTATCGACCGACAAATATGTTTTTTTTATACGATGTGCCACCCACTGTTTCGTCCGCGTCCGTTTTGTGTTTTTGCACGCGTTTTGTTTTGTATCGCGTCCTTTCGTGGCTGACCGCGTCTCTCCTCCTCCCTCGCGATCTCCGCTCTTTTGTTCACGACTGGAAAGGTGGTTTGGGTGGTGGCTTAAATAAAAAAAAAGAAAGAGGGGGGGGGTAGGGGGCAACGCGCAGGTGAACGAGAAGCGCACAGAACATGTTGCACGCAATGACGTTTGAAAAATGAAAATAAGCGAAAAAAAAAAAACACTGCGGTTGTAGCGGCGCCGACTGCAGTCCGCGAACTGGTGCCCGGTGTTCAAGAGAGGGTTGAAAGCTGGGTTAGTTAACGCACTTAAAGCTGGGTTAGTTAACGCACTTTTCGACGACGAGGGGACAAGCGAGACGCGACGCTCGCTACAAATGACTTGTCTTGTAGCAAAAAGCGCGCCACTTCCAACTGCGAAGTGTGATGACGGCGTTCCGTGTAGTATTTGTGAATGTTTTTTTTTTTGTTTTTTTAGCGGGGGCGCCTTCTTGAAACGAATGTGCGCGCGGGTCGCGTCCTCGCTTCGCTGGAGCAGTAGCATCATGCCTCCCCTTCGGTCGTGGGTGCGATGACCTCTCCCTCCGGCGAGGTTGGAGCCGAGATGAGGGGTGGAGTGGGGGTCAAAATCGTTCCGCGCCATCCGGCCTTCCGTTTCTTTTTCTTTTTGTCGACAGGCGTGCCCCCCGGTATTTCTGTCTGTAAGTCAGATTACGGGATTTATTTATGGTAGAATTGTATACATTGTGTCAGAAATGGAAGTGTGTTCGGCCTCTGTAAATAACGCCAGATTTTTCTCTCTTTTTTTGCGGGGTGGGGGGGGGGGGGGGAGATATACGATGGTGGCAAACATGACACTGCCAGTAAACGGGCGGCGTTTAGGAAGCTGATGATCCTTAAAGCAGTGTAAAACATTGGGTGGTATTACAGGTCTGTTTCATTGCAGCTGCGAAGCAATGATTCAGATACCAGCGCGCAGTAGCTAGCTAAGCGGCTTTATTGCTCTTGAAAGCCGTGGTTGTTGGTTCGATTCCCGCGCTGGTGTTTCGACAGTGTACTTCAATGAAGGTGCCTGTTCAGTTACTCTGGGCAGTCAAAATTCATTCAGAGTCCCCTCCCCTGCCCCTTTCAGGATAAAACTTGCGTCATGATCATGTCGTGGTATTGGCATGTAGCTAGAACCCGAGAACTGCAAATTTATTACGTACTGACAACACTTATGAAACTAGGATACTATATTACACGTGTAATGGAAAGGAAAACTTGGTCTTGACTCTGCCGTCACTTTGTGACGTGCAATTGTATCGGTGAGGGTGCACGGGGCTTAGCGAAAGGGTTTGACGAATTGATGTTGAGGTTTTCGTCATAATGATTACTCACGGCGCCTGCACTTAGGGTTCCGTTTGCATGTGTAGATGGCTTGCACTGACTTCAGTGAAAGAGCCACGTTGGCGCACCAACATGGTGGGACACAAAGTTCCAGATGTCACGTTAATGTTATCAGTGCATCGCATGCTGGTTCCTTCGTTATTCACGTACAGAGGCCCAATGACATTCAAGTTACGTCGTTATCGCACTGAAGCAGGTTAATTGCTGCGTGATTATACCACCTCGGCAACATGGAAGCCACAATGTTGGCGCCATGTTTTGCGTCCACGATGTCACCTGCAAACTATATATTGTGAGGGTCACGGATGTCCCCGGGTGATGGGTTGTTGCCATTCTGTTGGTCCCCGAAGGAACTCACTAAAAAAAGAAATGGCTGTATGGTATCGACGGCGGCGTTTTGATACAAACAGACTATTGATCAAGAGTCGATGATCACTGCAGGTGAATACCCGTGTGTGCGAATGCATTTTCTGCAGAACTGATAACGATTTGCGGGAGGGAAAAAAAAAGAGAAAATGCGTGTAGTTCGATGAACGTCCAATAGGATCTTCTTGTCGGCCAACTTTGTCTCAAATATTTTATGTGAAGCTTCTATAGTCTTAAGGTGCCTCTCCTGTTCACTACCTACATACGATGACGCCAACGACAATTCATAAAGGAATTCTACCGTATATGCTTTTACAATACCGTAACTGCCTAATTCATGGATAGTGTCTTCATGTTCTCATTAGAATATCAATCCAATAATCATTGAGTTCTCTAGCAATTCATTCAGGCAAGTACCCTCTGGGGTTTCTTTTATCCCCCCCTTTCCATGCATGCACAAACATGCTCGCACACCTTGTAAACCCAATGTGGCGATAACTAACTGACCACTTCAAGGTGGTTTGAATAGAGGCCTTCCTTAGCTGGGCATAATACTTCAAGCTGTATGCAAGGGTTCATTGGCCACCTGCCAGCTTGTGAAATGATATCACTTGCTTAATGTTTCCACCTGGCAAAAAAAAAAAAAAACGAAAATTGTTTTATTCTCTGTTTCATGTCTTCAAAGCAGTACTGGCTCACACTCCCAAGCCTACATGCTTGGAAACTATACAGGGCTTGTTCAGATCCTTCAAAAAACCTTGGAATATTGCTGAATTTGACAACTACATTTTTGAGGCCCTTGAAGGTCCTGGAATGCGTATTCTGTCCTTGAAAATCTCGTAAATTTCGGTGCCTGTGCAGTCTGACGTCCACAATAGGCTCCGCTTTCTGTCATAGACTAGCGTTAATGGCGAAAACTTTCCATTTCAGAAACAATATGCCTGAGTGAGTTTGCATGTGCTGTGGTTCTTCGCGTATCATCCTATTGTTCATATCAATCCCCAGTTCTCTCCCATTTAATGCATCTTGCATTTCTCTCTCTCTCTATTAGTCTTTATGACATCACTCTTGACAAGTCTCCTGCGTTTATGCTACTTTTTTACCAATCGAGTGTTGCATGTGGTTAGTACACTGTAATGATGCAAAGCCTTGCTTAATATTAGCGAAGTTTCATTACCTGTCCTGAACATTTGGTGCATGTTGGGAACTGCTTTAGGTGGCATCAGAGCTAGGCTTTTTAAAATAATAATGTTGTTGAAACGGTCATATAACACAGCCAGATTTTACGTTATCCCCAATCTAGGATAGAAATTTGCATTCCCCGGCAAGTATTTTTAAGGTTCAGTGCTGTCGCGAACCTGGATTAATGCAATTAACTTGAGACCAAAACCGGTGTAGCAAAGTTTTTTCTGAAGTAAAGTAGTTAAAAGAAGGTCTAATTGTTAATTTTCACACAGGTGTATTTTTTAAGCAGTGCCTCTAACGGTATGTCATGAAAGGCAACTATCATTTATAGTCATGAGCCTGAAATTATTCTGAAATGATTACGTGCTGCACATTCACACCAAACAGTAGGTTCTATAGTCAGTAGCACTGCTACGTTTCAGATAGTGCTGTGGGTAGCAGTGGTTTATATTCACTGTCATTGGTCCCTCAGGAACACTGCTGTGTGCTTTTGTTGATGATTTATGTGACATAAGGCACCGATTGTCTCCTCGCAGCTTTCGTTCTTGCCCCTGCTCACATAATCGCTACATTTCCTCTCCATGTCCTTGCATTTCGCCTGCATGCCAATAGTTTCGCATGGCCGTCTACCTGGCATGCATTGCTCTGACCACATATGGGAGGCTCAGTGTTCGAGGCAACTGAATGGACTTTTTACATGTGCACGCAAGAGTTAATAGAAAATACAAAGCTGTGGTAGATTTTGGGTGTCTGTGTCACAGTTTTAGATTTTGAAATACTGAAAAGCCCTTTTCTGCTACAATTTTAGTTTTTAAAGGACCGAAAAATGCCTTTCTCAACTTTGTGAACTTCCCGATATAAAAAAGTAGTTCAAGCATAGGGATAATTAAAATTGATTTTCAACTTTGTGTATATAAGGTGTATAAACTTAGAATTTTGAAGATTGTTACTGTAAATTAAAAAAATACTCATTTGGATGCTTTTTTAATTGATAGTAAAAGGTGTTACGGGACCTTGTAAGTTCTCGTTTATCCTCCTTTGAAACATGTACGAATTCTGGAATTACCCTAACAAAGTGTACTTGAAGACGATTCCCTCTGTAGCTCGATTGTTAGCGCATCAGATGCTTTACAAGAGGTTTAAGATTTGGTCCCTTCCTGTAGCAAATTGCCTTTTCGTCCACTTCGATTTCTTTACATTTTATCTGTTACAATGACTCTCGTACTTTCCTTGACACTTCTTAGTTTGTTTGTTTTAATGGACTGTATGTAAGATAAAATGAGCCCTTGGTAGATAATACCCCTTGCTCATCCAATTTTAAGTGGGCGTGTGGCTTGTGGCTTGACTCGAGGTATTGCGTGGTCAATTCAGTAGGAACTTTACTCTCCCGTTAGGACTTTGATGTGGCGATGGCCGGTATTTCAGGACAGTAAAAGAAAAAATGCATTATTATCAGAATATCTACATTCGATATCAAGTCATTGAGCATTCAACTTTTGTTGTTGTTTTTTTGTCGGTAATAAAATGGCATGTATTTACTTGTGAATTTACGTGTGTATGGCAGTAAGGCTCTGACTGCTGTGAAAAGATCTCGTTGGAGAAAAAGGCTGCACAGGTCAAATTTTGATAGCCAGGTGAATAATTTTGCGATGAGACACGTTATGTTTGAACAGCTATGGTAGACGTATATCAATGACCTCGCCGAACTTTCTTTTTTTGTTTGAAAGGCACATGGAGAAAATGGATTTTTCGTGTATTGGTAAATTACTCTTCCAAAATTTTGTAATTTCCATATTTGCTGCAGGAAGATGCATGGTAATAGAGAACTAAAAAAAAAATATATGCTGGCAGCAGTGCAACCTTGAGATACTTCAATAAAAATTTCTGCCCCAGACATCAAGATGTCGTAGAATTTTAAGAGATGTACTAGGTTCTGCGTAGTTCCTAATTAGTAAAAATGGAGGTCATTGCTTTCTAAGAATGCCATATATTTACGAAGTTTTGGAAAATGTTGTTGGGCCAATGTCGCCAAAATGCAAAAAAATTCACTTTGCCATCCATGATGTCACATGTGGCAATTTCGATGAAAAATTTTAAAAGAAGCTGTGTTCTTGATTTTCGCCTCTGTTATTAGCCCAATATGCCGGAAATAAAGACGTCGGGGGGTTCGGGATACCATTTATCAATCTTGGTAGATTCACTACTTCGCCTTTAGGTTCCTTCATAAATACTGAGTGCTTGAAAAAGATAGTGGATGCTGTGACAGTGGGAGATGACTGCCTTAATAAACACGAACCATTATGTCGTTACTGTACGAGATGCACTGATTTGTGGTACCTTCCAAATGTTATCGAATTGCACTGGCTCCATGCGGTACACTTACAGGGTGGTCTGCCGACAATCTGTGCATTTGCCGGTGTTTGGCACAAACTCAACTCTTTGGTGATAAACGTTTGTACATGCGAATCAAAAGTGACACCTTTCTTTTTACGTCTTTGGCAGATGCTCACGATGAAGATTAGGACACCTTACACGACGGCCAGCATGTGGTCCTCGGGGAAGGTCACCTGTACTGGTGCCACCAGGTAGGTCGCCACTTGCCACTGCAACACGCCACTTGCCACAGCAACACGCCACTTGCCACAGCAACACGCCACTTGCCACTGCAACACACACCAATCATTAGGTTGCTGGTTATGGTACACAGCTTTCGCAACTTTGTTCGTACAAAATGCCATGGCAGACACATTTTGAAACTATCACATTGCTGCATGCCCTGCAAGCACTCTTGTAAACAATTCACGTGCTCCTCTTCTGTGCCTTATCGCACCTCTTCATTCTTCAAGGGACGTAACATTGCTTATGGGCAACGTTGGGTATCGCTGATCTGCGCCTTGGCACCGTAGTGAAGCTGTTTTGGCCTCTCCCTTGTCGCACCAGTCACTTGTTTGTTTACTTTGTCAGGGCCTCACGCTGCACTTGCTCGCCACTCCGCCTTGGAGTAACTTGCTCGAGCTACATGTGAAGGAAGCCTCTCTAGGTTGTTTGCTGTGCAACTTTGGTGTAACTGCTGACGTTGTGTAACGTTTCCGATGTGGGGCACAGTCAGAGTGCCACGGTATGTCTACCTTTCATGACGATGGAGCGTGGTGAGGCCGAGGGAGAAATTGGAACGAGGCGAAATAGTTGCAGTGAATCAACTTACTAGCCCGCTTATTAGCAATATTTTTTGTGGCAGTACATTTACATTTTTTAAGTGTGTAGTCATCTCTTCATCATAAGTTTTGCATTGCTGGGTCGTTATTGGCCATTTAATAAAACCTTATCTTTAAAATTGTTGAGGAATCATTGAAATGTTTGACTGAATATATCATTCTGTCGGATCTAACGAACAATGGAGATAACGGGAGTGTTATCCTTACCTATTTTTTTCCAAAGTGCCACTTCAGCTGCACTGATGCCAGGCACTGATATCGGTACTCAGCGTTGCGCTCTTGTCGTGCTTATCTGCTTTTTACTGGTTAGTGGGACGTAGTTATGACAAGGATCTGTGAGACACCTTGACTTCCCTGTTTTGGTTTGAGGGTAGTGCATACGTGGGCAAGTGTTAGCGTGCCATTCAATGCAATAAATTGGGTGTTGCGCCACGTACAAAATTGTGTGAGAAGTAGTTGACAGGAAAGAGGCGCTCTTTCCTGTCAACTACTACTACTTGCAATTTTGTACGCGGTGCTACACCCAATTATTACAGTGAAGTACCAACTAGCCTGCATAGGCACCCTTGTTCAGTATCTTGCCATTCAAGTTTGACATTGCAACGGGTTGCTTCATGGCTGCAGCCTACGAGCAGCTGTGTTGACACGGGCACTTTGGTGAGATGGTGCATAGCTAAAAGCTGTGAAAGTGCATGAAAAACACAACACAAGGGAGGCAGTGCTTTGATTAGGGTTCGTGCGGGTCCTCGAAAGGCATTGGATTTGAAAAGTTTGTTCTCAGGGCCTTGAAACTGCTGGAGTTTTCTTCAATTCTTCAATTCTTTTCTTTTTTAAATAAACTTTGTCATATATTTCATAGTGCATTATTTGGGATGTCGTAACTGTAGCAGGTGGCACATGTAATGTGCCCATCAAAAAAGAATTGTGAGCATTAGAAGCTTCTGCCTGAACCAACACTGTGCATTTCTGGAAACTCTAAAAAAGGCCGGAACAGGAGGATGAGAAACAGAAAAAGTAATGTTGCTTTAAGGAGTAGGTCGAAATCCTTACAAAAAAAAAAAGGAAAGAAACTAGGAGCTACTGTTGAGGAATTAGCAATTACAGCAGACTCATGTGCGGAAAAGGAGGAGACAATTAATGACCCGACATGCATGACCAAGTCAAACAGCCTTAGAAGGACTGCCATAACCAAGGAGCAGGAGATAGTGGATATTGATATGAAAATTTAGAAAAAACAACAAGCTGTTGCGTAATTACTGTTCCTTAGTTTTTACTATATGAATAAAGGTTTGTAACTTGTAGTATACTGCAAGTGATTACCTCTGCTACTTGCAATGTAATTAAAGCACATAGCCTCGACAGTCCTTGAAAATCTTTCAATTTTCATCATGTAAACGAGCATGAACCCTGTTTGATATAGCACTTTAGCTGCGCATTGCCTTCCTTGTGTATTTTATGCGCTATTATTTTCAGTAGAAGCATTGGACTTAACACCACAAGTCGAGGGCGTAGCCCTTCAGGGGCCTCGAAAACCAAAGTGATACTAAAAAATCTGTCTGCTTAATTTTATTCCTAGCTGTGCAGCCTAGTTGAAGTAAATCTAGAGCCATACTGGGGTGCCAAGCCATTTTAATTCAATAGCGTCTCCTGTCTCTTATGTGCGCTCGTTTACTGCCGTATTTTCTTGCTAGTGTTCACGCCTGTCCTCGCCCTCTGTGTGTTATAGCGAGGAAACTGCCAAGCTGGCCGCACGGCGCTACGCGCGCATCCTCCAGAAGCTGGGCTTCCGGGTCAAGTTCATGAACTACCGGGTGGTGAATGTGCTAGGCACCTGCACCATGCCATTCGCCATCAAACTCATTCCATTCTCCCAAAGCAACCGGCCCATTGCCAGGCGAGTGGATCTCCGAACTTGTTAGGGCGCACTAAAAGGGATGTGGCTAAACTTCTTGAACGTTAAACTACTGGATCATGTGTCTGTGATCTCGTGCAGCACAAGTTGAAGGAGTGTTGACACACGAAATTCGCATCTGGTGTTTTTTTTTATTGCAATGAGTGACTAACAAACCACTTACCACGGCAGAAAACCTCATTTGCCCGAGTGCGTGCCGGCTAGTTATTTGGAGACTACTTCATAGCACACAGTCGCAAGTCTAGTTTCCAAGATCACTGAAGCGGGCCCCAGAATGGTTTTTATGTTAACGTAGCCAACTAGTGGCTATGTTGGCACGTTCATGCCAACACAGTCACTAAAAGGTAAAGATGGGGCACATTTACCGGCCCATCGCCATTCACACAAATGTGAGCTGTATCTGAATGAAATTCAGATCCAGTGGAGAAGCACGAGCATAAAACATAAAAGCACATAACATAAAAGCACGAGCTCATTACGCATTAGTGAAACTTCTTGATTCCTTTTGCAGGCTGAGAGCACGTTCTGGGCTCTCGGGTTGTGATTACGATGTTCGATATGGAACGATGGAAAACTAACGTGGGAGTTTCACAATTTTTCTTCAATATTTTGTATGAGTTGATGCTGCAAGACCAACATACGACAATTGTGCTAAATTTGGCCATATCAGCATCGTGATCGGAGCATCTGAAACGTACACAGTCCCGTTCTCATGACGCATTGTTGCATACGAGACGATTTCGCAAGCCGCTACCACAATACGTATGCCAAATCAGACAGGATATTCTGGTGAGTAGTGGCATTAATTTACGTTGCATTCACCAAAATACAGAACGGCAATTCTGTGCTGCGTTTCATCGCACGCCGCTATTTTCATAAATCCTATGTTCTGGTGGTGCTATCTCGTGCCATCACTGTGACAAGGGTCGCTCGTGATCGCTCCCTGAATCCTCTATTCAGTATATTCTAGTACACTGTAGCAGGGTCTTGCAATGCTGACATGAAGGGGACCGCATGGCAAGCTTGCAGGAGGGGGTTTGCAGGCAATGCAAAACATTTCTACATATCGATAATAAGAACCTACAAAACTGAAATTAAAATTTTGTTGATTTTCAGCTCTAGTGTCGCTAGGTAGTAAATTCTAAACATGGCTTACAAGCAAATAAAAAAGCTCTGTTAGTGCGAATTTTGGTTGCAAACATTTTCAGCCTAATCTCTCGTACAGTTGAACCCTGCCACAATGAAACCAACAGGGTGCGGGAAAAATTTCGTTGAATTGAAAATTGCACCCAGCAGCAGCGTGTAGGACGTGCCAGAAACTGAGTGACTAAGCTTCAGCTCCGAATTTTCTGTGGCTCAGAAGCAAGCCATTGGCAAAAGGCAGGGCATTCTCATTGCCATTACTATCGAGTAATGGTGGCCCTCATGCTTGGTAAACAGCAGCAATTTCTGGTCTAACCAACGTGCATTTTAGACTTTGTAGACATACTTTTATGTTCTGATAATACAGTAAAAGCTCGTTAATTCGAATTCCACGGGAACGCTGAGCAATTTCGAATTAAACGAAATTCGAAATAATGAAAGTAAGCAAAAATGGGTGGATTTCGGGGGTGGGGGCACAAAAAATATTTATTGGCCAAAAAAGGTCGGTGATGACCATCTGCTTCTTTTTTCTGAATGCCACAGCTGCGGCTCCCTGTTCCAGTGCGCGGACCCGGCGCAGGGAATCCTCTTCACCCTCTTCAAAGCTGAAGAAGAGACGCGCCACATTAAGTGCCTCCGTCACCGCAGAAGCTGGCGGGCACACAGGCGCTTCGTCATTTTCGTCTTCCTCACCTTCTGGCTCTCCAGCATCAGGCTGCGCACCGGCTACTTGAGCAATAATGTCCTCATCAGTCAGGGCACCACATACCGATGCACCGGTGTCAACTTCAACATAATCGGCAAAACGTACGCCCCGAAGAGTGTCGTGCAATGCCTCTGGCATGAGCTCCTCATCCCCATCCATGTCGACGTCACAACTATCCTGCGCACTTCCAGCTGCAAATCTACTGTGGCTGAAACAGTTAGCGATTGTGGTCGCGGTCACCTGTTCCCATGCGCGCACCAACATGTGCATGGCAGTGAGCAGCGTAATGCCGAAGTCCTTCCTGTCGCCCGCGCACAAAATCATTCTCTCCAGCACGTGACGCCTCTAAAAGCACTTAATGTTCCTTATTACACCCTGGTCCATTGGCTGTAGGGCCGCAGTCGTATTTGCTGGAAGGAACACCAACTTAGTTGCTCTCAGCTCAACGTCGACTTTGTGCGCCGAACAGTTGTCGACGACAAGAAGAACGCGTCTGCCGCCCAGTTCCATTCGCCTGTCGAATTTCAGTAGCCACTTCCTGAATAGGTCACCTGTCATCCAGGCTTTCTTGTTTGCGGCGTACTCCGTCGGCAGTGAGCGAATGTTTTTGAAGCACCGTGGCTTGAGTGCTTTGCCAATCACAAAAAGGGGGACCTTTTCCGTACCGGTCATATTTGCGGCGACCAGAACAGTGACACCTTCTTTGCTGCGCTTGCGGCCGGCACAGCTGTCTCCCTTGTAGGTGATCGTCTTGTCTGGCTGCAACTTGAAAAATAACGCTGTCTGTTCAGCGTTAAACACATCCTGTGGTGAGCAGCTCTCCAAGTACTGCTGCAGGGTGTCGCTTCTCCAAGTAGCGCATGTTTCGGTGTCCACTTCCTTTGCCTCGCCGGATAACGTGCGGAATACGAGATTGTGCCGCTCCCTGAAACGATGAAACCATCCCTCGAAGGCAACAAAGTCTTCAATGCCCAAGCGCAGGGCGAAATCGGCTGCCTTGGCCACGATGATAGGGCCGCTCAATGCGATACTCTGGGCTCTCATTTCTTTAACCCAGATAATGAAAGCTGACTCCAGTTCCGGGAACTTCGCTGTCCTTAGCCTTTTTCGACTGGCGCCAAAATCCTCGGCTTCATAGGCGTTTTCAATGGCTGTCCTGTTGCGTATGTAGGTTGACAACGTGCTCGGAGGTATGCCGTGCTTCCTCGCAATTTCGTATTTGCTCGAGTTCCCTAGGTCAACCTTTCACAAAATCTCCACCTTCTCCTTGACAGTCTTCGCGCAGTAGTTTCCCCGCGGCATCTTGCAACTTCGATGCGGAATAAGAAGGCTTGACGGCGTGAACGAACAATGTGCTCGATGAACAAAGTGACGCTGCCGGGAGCGGCCTAGGACTGCTAGGACTACTCCGCCGACTCTTCAGCGTCCCGTGGGTCCCGCGTACAAGTGGCGCCAGGCGCTGAGATAGCGGGAGGGCTACGAAAAAAAAAAATTGCTCCCTAGATTTTGGAGGCCATACTTTGCTCGCCCTTCGCTCGGAGGCCACTTGAAGCTAAAAAAAACTGGTCGTGCCACCTATCGTTCGACCGTAAAAGCTTCCACTGGTGTTTGACGATGATGACGCTCGGCGGCGCGCGCTTCGAATTATCCGTAGAGGCAGCAATTTCTGTTCGAATTAACGAATCCTTTTACACATGGTCTCCTATGCACTGTGGACCGGACTGCGGCGACCATTTCGAATTATCCAAAATTTCGAATTAATGAGGTCTGAATTAACGAGCTTTCACTGTACAATAAAATGTTCAATGTTGTGTTTACTGCACGGCATAAAAAATCTGAATCTGGAATTTGCATTGTCGAAACTGATTTATCACATTCTATGTGTTCTAAAGTGGTGCCAGTGTTTCTGTTTTTTTGGTCTTTTGTCACGCCTTGCTTCTAAAAGAGCTTTTGAGGATTAATTCAGAAGCAATTACTAAAGTAGGCATTCTCGACAGGAAGTCGGATGCACGCAGAGCTGAACAAAAATAGTTTGAGCAAATTATTGCTTGTGCTTTTGTGAAAAATGACAGTGATATTGTCTGCACCATTGTCTTAATTTCAGATGATGTAAAGCACCCACAATCTGATTTTTTTCAAGTAAAAAGTTGGCACTAAAGCAGTTTGAACATGTTAGCCTACTGTTTCTTCTTGCATCTCTATCTCTGTGCTCAGTTGCAAAAATCAGTTTTTGCAAGAAAGACTAGAGGAGATTTCTGCTTCCTCCACTTGTACAAATTTGCTTGTCGTGAGCATCTGAGTGCATTATTTAAAAATGGTTTATGTTCCGAACATTTCGTTCACTGTTGTGAATAAAATATACAGGCGAAATTCTGTAAGTGAAAGGTCTTGGGGGTTTGAGTAAGGCTTATAGAGGTTCCGGCATCTGACATGCCATATTTTCTCACGTATAACCTGTGTAAAAAAAAAAAAGTGAGAATGTTCTTTTAAATAAGTGGGAGTGTCAGTTGTGTGCTGGGGTTGTGTGCATTTTCTTTTCATTGAGTTAGTGTTGGGGGTGCAGATCCGATTCAGGCGTGGGCTTTATGCAGGGGCAAGTACGGTATTACCTTGAAACAGTCTGCGTTGCCTGTCATCTTTGATTTCTTTCCAAATTCGGGAGGATTCGTAATACAAGTTTTTCTCCCTGTTTGCAGCTATGAGCCAGAGTTGCATCCAGGAGTCACGTACAAGATCAAAGATCTGAAGGCCACCTTGAAAATATTCTCGACGGGTAGCATCACAGTCACAGGTAGGCTGTCAAATCTGTGCACTTGTCTCGTACTGTCCTGCCAACCCCAGGCTGTGCAGCGAAATGCCATGGCTTGCATCAGGCAACCAATAGCAATCGCTGTGTGGTCATTGAGTAGGCAACATTGAACGGTTTGGCTGTTGTGCACCACCGATCCTTGCGTGTATCTTCGTATCAGCATTGCGTATGGGGCATGCAATGGTACACAATGGAGCAGAACCCCCTTTTTTTTTGTTCTTTTGTTCTGGTTGGATGACAAACATAGACATTAAAAGAGTTGAACGTTCTTTGAGTTGGTCTTTGGACATGGGGCGCTCGACTTCTGATCCACAAGTTACGGTACCAAATTGCGAAGTTGCTCGAAGCCTGTATACTTAGATTTTAGGGGCATGCCAAAGAACCCAGCTGGCCGAACTATTGTGCTTTTGAGATGTTCAACTATGCCAATTATTATTAATAATATGATTATTACGAGCGCTCTCAATAAGTACAGTTAGTTCTTTCATAGTCCTGCACCTTGTGTCTGTGTCGTCGTTTTGTTCTCACGCTGTAACTATCGTCATGCCATACCAACTAGCCCAAGCTGCCACACTCCTGCACTCCAACCTGGGGTGCTCTGAGGTGCCCGCACTTACTCCGAGCCCAGAGCACAACCGACGTGTGATTACATTACTCCAGCACTTCATCCTTTCCAGCCGAAAATGCGCTTACCTGTTTTCTTTTCTGGCCTCCGATTGTTTTAGCGAAGCGGCTGCGTGGTTGGTAGTAGCAATCCGAGTGGGAAAGTGGTATTGCCGAGCTGAAGGTATGATCTGCCTTATATTGCTGCAACGAGCTTCCGCTGTATATAAAGAATCCTTCATTTTTGAAGAAGCCCTGCAACACCGTCGTACTATCTGCATCAAATGGAACCCGAACACCAGCAAGCTTTTGCGATGGTATAGTACGCGCTGTTCAGTTATTGCCAGTTCAGTTATTCGTGTTGTTATTGTTCAGTTATTTTGTGTGTTATTGTTCAGTTATTGTTCAGTTATTCGTGTCGTGTTTAGAACTTGTTCTCGCTTACTTCGCACTCGGCTCAGCATGCCCTCCACACGGGTTCGGAAGCACGAAAACGGCTGTTAAGGGGGGGCGCGGCAAGTAAAGTGCCGATTTTGGTCAAAATATGCGATTTTCTGATTTATTTTTTTTCGTAATCTTCAGACCTTCAACTTCCTTGTTCTAAAATATTACAGCGAAACGTGCGCTACAAATCCCGCAAATAGTGTTTTTGCCGAGGCTAGTCGCCGAAAAGTGCGAAAAAAAAGCCCCTGAAACGGTGTTGTTCACGCCGCACAAACGCGCCAAGTTGTTGACCGTGGGCCGCCATTTTGGTAGCTTTGGAAAGAGGAGAAAGCCGGCTTCCCGATGGTCGCGGTCTCGTATTTCGCCGAGTGAAAATAAAAGCGCGAGAAGCAAGTAAAAAAACGAAAACGAAAAACGGCAATTGGCTGCGCGGGTCACGTGGTAGCAGGCGCGACCTCTTACTGGTCAAAGCTGCGCCGCGCACCTTGGCAACCTTGGAAGCGCGAGCGCATCTGCGGCCGCCGAGTCGAGAATCATCCGGCGTGCGCTTCGTTTTTTGCCAGTTGGCTGTTTTTGTGATAGTTCGCGTGCTTTTTTTACCAAGCTTTGTTTACATCGGTGGTCTCTTCTGAGTGCTTGCTCATACTGCGGTGCTATGTTGTCGCAAAAAAAGTTCCGGAGCGTCCACAAGTACGGCAAGCGTCGGAAAGCTTGGAACAAAGGGCAGACGACTGCGGCTGCCGTCCCAGTCGCAGTTCCGGACGGAGCATGCTCTTCAAGCGTCACGGAGCCTCTACTCAGACCCTTCGCTGATTGTTGTGAGGCCGAGAGTGTGGAAGGTGCCACATCGTCGTATGTCAGACCGCCGGATGCCGTCGACCGTGATGGACGCTCTCGCGAACCCGATTGCGGTGGCACCGCGTCGGCAGCCGTTGCAACTCCGGGCGTGCGCGCGTCGAACATTCTATCGCGAGTTTCGGCCCAGATTCCGAGCAGTGAAGAAATCGCGCAGCGGGCGCAGACAAGGCGGGATGTTTTGGATGCCGTAGCATCAAAATCCGCTTCAAAGCGGAAGCTCGAGCTTCTGAACGAAGGCTGCGACGAAAATGACGGCGGTAAGGACTCCACATTCTTCATTGTAAATAAGAAGATGCTGAACGGTCTGCTTTCGTCAGTAAAGTGCAACAAGTGCGACGAAGGGTCGATACGCCTCGAGACTACGCACTGCCTTGGACTCGCGGCGAGGATGGAACTTTTTTGTGACAATTGTGGCATAGTGAACAGTGCGTGGTCGTCCCCGAGGTGCTCCGGGCAACAAAAAACGAACCCCTTTGAGGTAAACGTGCGTGCTTTGAGGGCTGTGCAGTCAGTTGGCAGAAAACAATCTGCCATAAATGACATTTTTTCTGCGATGGACATTTCGCATCGAGCACTGCACCACAAGTCCTACCAGAGACTGCAAAGGAAGTACAGCCACCCTGCCACCACATCAGCTGCCACCCGCATTGAAGCAGAAAGTGCACAGAAGGTGCATGACATTTACAAGGACCTAGGAGGAGTGCCAGGCAACATTGACGTCATTTACGACGGCACGTGGATGACGAGGGGGCACAGAAGTCATATTGGCGTGGGCTGTGTAATCGAGCTGTACACAGGCTTGGTCTTGGACCACTGTGTCCTGTCCAACTACTGCCAAGGCTGTGCTGTTGGTCCCAAGCCTGGTGACGACAACTATGAGGAGTGGCTTGAGAAACACAAGCCACAGTGCCAAAAGAACACCGATGCTAATGCAGGCCAAATGGAAGTAGAAGCAGCGAGGATCATGTTTGAAAGATCGTTTACCAAGTACAAGCTTCGATACACCAATGTGCTCTGCGACGGTGACAGCCGTACGTACCTTGCCCTCACGCAAGACAAGGTGTATGGCTACATGTTGATTAAGAAACAGGAGTGTGTGAACCATGTGAAAAAAAGAATGGGCACTTCCTTGCGCAACCTTCTTGATGAGCACAAATCCAAAGGCCGAGGACTGAGCATGGGTGGCAAAGGCCGGCTGACGCAGGGCCTTATAAAGAAGTTGACGAATTATTATGGCTGGGCCATTAAGGGCCACCCCAACGATGTTCCTGGCATGGAGAGGGCCATCATGGCCACTTATTACCATGTAACATCCACAGACCAGGATCCACACCACGACCTGTGCCCAAGTGGGACTGACTCCTGGTGCCCGCACAATCAGGCATTGGCCAAGGGAGAGCCGCTGCCGCCTCACAAACATAAACTGCCCCCTCACGTGCGAGTGGCACTGCTGCCAATCTACAAGCGCCTCTCGAACAAAGAGCTCCTTGAAAGGTGTGCGCAGGGAAAAACCCAGAACGTTGTGGAGAGTATGAACAGCCTCATTTGGTCACTCCAGTCCAAGAGCCAGTTCGCCTCCCTTCGAAGTGTGGAAAGTGCAGTTGCAGATGCAGTCTGCCGTTTCAATGGTGGCTGCAAGAGTGCGCTGCAAGAGATCACTGCTCAACTGGGCTTCAATCCAGGAGACTGCTCTTTGCGGCGAGCAGCCGAAAAGGATGCCAAAAGGGTGAAGAGGGCTCAAAAGACGCATTGTTCCACGACAAAGAAGCGCAAAACTGGGTTGCGCTCTACAGAGGCCAAGGCCACAGCATCTCAGGATTACTGCCCAGGAGGATTCTGAGTGTTTTAGGCATGTTGTGAACTTCCAAACAAGAGTGAACTTTCAAAGTCAGTTTTCTCAACTCTTGATTTTCGCCTATGTGCCTTCGCTAGAACATCTGTCATTTTTTAACAAAGACTGATAGAGTCGTTCCGTTTTTTGCACTAGGCTCAGGAGGCCTTTAGCAGTGCAATAAAGCTTTATCTCTCTTCTTACTCATCATTTAAAATTTTTAGAACACATTTTATAATTACTGCGATGTGTGCGCAAAACAACATCCATGTTTTGGAAATTTTATTTATGGTTGCAAGAACTAGAAAAATCAACTAATAGCTTCTTTGCACAAGTTGATGCTTTGGGAACATAATAATATGAAAAAATAATTTCATTTAGCAATAATTATCTCTTTAAGTGCGAAGAGCATTAATTAGTATAATTATGCTTGTAACTCAAAAAGTACAAGAGGTATTTGAAAACGGTTTTCATATTTGGAATCCTCACAATCATCCACATACACACACCAAATTTCATCACAAACAGTACATTAATAAAAAAATTAGTTTTACTTGCCACGTCCCCCCTTAATTTGCGCAGAACGAATTGCGAAATATCGAAGTTGGTGAGGCCATGCAAACCCGTCGGCGCAACGAACGCCGCGGAACCGTACACGGGTTAAGGCACTGTTAAAATCCACCTCCAAAGTTTATGTACGCAATTGCACACGTGGCCGCTAAACGGGACATAGACAACAACAAACGCAAGGTTTCGTGAATGCAGCATCGCCCATGTTCAACTCGCCACGAGGGCACCTACCTGGAATAAATGCTCAGGTAAACATGTGCGTCAAATATTGATGGTCTGCATAAAAGCAGGGTTTGCAATGAGAAACACCGAAAATCACTTTCTCTTCTCAATACTGTTTTTAAATGAACAGTGTATGGGCCCAACAGCTAGGGGCTGATTTCATTAAAGTAAGCATCCATGAGATCAGACGTCACATGACAATGACATAAAAGTCTTGGACAGCACAACGCCTCCCAGCCAAAGCCTCTGCACGGCTTTGAGTGCACTCAAGCTGATTAACCGAGAGCGCGAAACTGGTCTAATCAGTAACTTTATGTGACTAAATTGAAAGATTTTTTTATGATCGGAGACTTGAGAGCCTACAGAGCATCCTGATAAGCTCATATTATGGCAATGTACTATCTGCATCAAATGAAACCCGAACAGTTGCTAGCCTTTACAATGGTATTGTGTG